GATGTGTAGACGCACACTGGGGCCGTTCGGTGCCTTGTCAATGTCAGTAATGCCCACCATCCTCGAGATGAACTATCGTAGTGGGAAACACTCACGTTTGCCAACCACATGTACAAGTCCTGGTGCTTCCTGGCCTCCAGGTAGCAAATCTGAGGTGTCGAGTTGAGCTCGGCGAGTTCGTTGAGGACGTGGAGTTTTGACTTGGTATCGAACTAGAGCGGTTTGTCAGGATCGAGAATTGTCGATGAGGACAGCCAGCAATGGCGGGGATAGTACGGACCTTGCTGTCCAACTTTCCGTGGGGCATCATCGAGTGAATATCGGTCATCAGGTGTCGGTGTCTGTCGAGGTCAAAGGTCAGCGTGACTGCCATGGCACATGGAGATCTATTGGCGGAGCTTCACCTGTAAGTGACGCCTCTGCTTGAAAGAACCAGAGCGCGCCTCTTCTGGCGCACCTTCTTGACGCCATTGGTCGGCGCCTCAGGCTTGTCGGCCTTCTTGGACAATGACTTGTATACGGAAGCCATCTTATCGAGTCACGAAGGTGGTGTGGGGTGTGTTGGCGACGTCGAAGATTGATGTTTGACGCGAAGAAGATATCGCAGCCCACCTGCAGGAAACAGAAGCCGATGGTTTGCGACCAGCCCAAATTTTTTTCTTTCCGCTACAGACGGGACGCCTGATAAGAGAGCTTATCGGCCAGGCGGTGACCCGGTGTAGCGGGGCACACACCCACTTAAGAGGTTCCCTGTGGTGCCAGTGCACCTCGAACCTTTTTAATGAGTAAGGGAGGTACGTACCTAACTCCGGCGCATTCGTTCCCTCCGCTGCCCTGTCGCCCAGACCGTGTCAGAGTGTGCCACAGAAGGGGGGGGACAGTAACTCATGCGCGGGCTAACCCAGCTGAAGAGCGAGGGGGACTCGAGGGGCAGGGCCAGGCGTGAGGGGATGGGCACCGCAGCACCTATGAGTACCTAGCGCGGGCTGGGGGGAAAGAAACTTTGTGGATCGCAGCAAGCTTGCATGCCCACCTCAATTTCACCTCGCTGGAGCGCTTCGAGACATCCTGACCAGTGTGATGCCAGGACATGGCTTGAGAAAGACCCCGAAATTTGGGAATGCGGTACTTCAATGTAAACACATGGCTGGTTTGACCACTAAGGTATTGAGCTGGGCCAGGGGCAGAAGCCACTCTGAGCTCAGAGGAACACCTGTCATGACGGCAAAAGACCAGAGGTAGTAATTACCTACTGTATTGGTGCATCTGAAAGGGTACGTCAGGACTCACGAACACTTCCTGATCAGGTTGAAGGCGGCCAAAGATGCGACCCGTTTATTCGAGGTACCATCGCACATTACGGACATCCTCACTAAGGGGTATCTTGTCTGCGGTGTGCATGTTATATGGCGAGGACAGGTCGTTGGATGGAGCAGCCACAAAATGCTTCGCACATCACCAAATTCCACCTAGAAGACGCTCCCTCAAGGCATTAAGATGGATTCATTCAACTACGTAAGCATGTCAGAGCGATCGTCAGAAACGTCAAATCCCAGACAAGCCGCACTGAGCCGTATAAAGGAGAACAAAAGAAAGGCCGAGACTATACTCCGTCCCTTCGGAAATCATAAAAAAGACTCATTGGATTCCTAGTCATTCCTCGATGCAGCAGCCCCTCCTTGACCAAGTGGCGTACAGATTCCGGGGCATGTGTGTGACATGCCATGATATCGACCGTAGCAGCCCTCCCAAAAGGCCGTGAAACAGTTTCGCAGAAGAAGATTCGCTTAACAGCACTTGCCGCTCTTCTCTGCACTGTTGTCCGCAGGTGTGCTGAGCGAAATGCCGGCGCCGGCTCCGATCGAGGCTTGGGGTCCGTCGCCCGAGTCGAGGGCCTTGCTGGATACGATGCGGTAGATCTCTGCGAGCGAGACGGATCACGTTAGCACTTGACTGTCACCAGATACCCCTGATTATGTATGCGAGTTGCAAAACACGGGAGTAGACGCACCGGTCAAGATGTTCTGGAATGCAAGCTCGACGTTGCTGGCATCGAGGGCAGACGTCTCAATGAATGAGAGGTGGTTCTCGCCTAGAGCACCGGTTAGCGAACTCAGGGTCTACGGCACTTCCCCCTGACGCCTTCACCGCAACGTACTGGCGAAAGCCTTTGCCTCCTCTGTAGGCACTGCTCGCAGGTGGCGCAAATCGCTCTTGTTTCCGACAAGCATGATGACGATGTTGGCATCGGCATGGTCTCGCAGTTCCTTCAACCACCGGGTGACGTTCTCGTATGTCTGGTGTTTGCTGATGTCGTAGACGAGGAGGGCACCGACAGCTCCTCTGTAGTAGGCCGAAGTGATGGCACGGTAGCGTTCCTGGCCGGCGGTATCCCAAATCTGTGCCTTGATCGTCTTGGAGTCGACTTGAATGGATCTAGTGGCGAACTCGACACCAATTGTCGACTTGGAGTCCAGGTTGAACTCATTGCGGGTGAATCGACTGAGAAGGTTGGACTTTCCGACGCCCGAGTCTCCGATCAACACCACTAGAAGATGAAAATGTCAGCTGGCCCTCACAGAAGCCCTGTGGCCACTATGCGATAACGTCGCCAGGTCGGATCGGTCGTTGGCGCACCTTTGAAGAGGAACTGTCGGAGGCTTCGAGTTAGCGCAAGGAGGGGGAGGCTTGGGAGAGCAGTTGGAGAGGGAGAGGGAGAGGGGCGGCAGTAGGGTCAAGGGGTCTGGAAGATGGGAGATGGAAGGACTCACGTCATATTCGTCGTTGGCCATGATGTCGGATTGTGTTGCAAATGCGATGGACAGGTGTCTAGGAAGTTGTAGGTTCGTTGGTGTTGCGAAGCGAGGATACTGCGGCTCGATGGAGGTGGTGCGCGGCCCCGAGAGATAAAGCAGTTGAGTTGAGGCGAGGCAAGGTGTAAGGGTCTGGAACTGAACCAGACTGAGAGAGGTGGTGGACAGTGCAGGTCAAGGCAGCATAGGGTGGTGGGTGAGGCAGCAAAGATTGAGGTGAGGTGGTGGTGTCGGCACCCGGGCAGTTCTAGGCCACAGAAACTCGCTTTGCCTGGAGGGAGGTAGGCACTTTAGGTAAGGTACCCAGAGAGCAAACAGCCACTGGGAAAGGGGAAGTCGGGCGTACCTAAGTGAGGTAAGGGTACTACTGGGGGTTGTATTCCGTCGCAAGCCAGCTGCAAAGGGGGCTTGTCGGGTCCTGGGTGCTGGAAGATTGGGAGTATCCAGGTACAGGAAGTACCTCGACAGCCAAGGTACTTTGGCTCGTGGTGCAAGTTAATGATATACCTCAGAGCTCTGCTAGCGTTTGATACGCATGAGAGACTACCGTGCTTTTTGCACTATTGAGTAGACGAGCAAGAGGTAAACATATTAAAAAGAGGAGTGATAGATATGTTTATTTCTGTGAAAGAAAAGGGGGGTGTTTGTTTTTCAAGGTACAGTTGGAATCAGAAAGCCATTCGTGGTGTTTTTAGAAACCAGCAATTCGGCATCTCCCTGCCGCCAGATCATTCAACTGGTGGGGTTGTCAAGTAACTGGAACATCCATAGTATGCAAAAAGGTCAAAGACGTACTTTGGGAAGAATGCAGATAGATAGACGACACGCTGGCCAGGAAAGTACCAAAGATTGATCAATGCCTTTGCTTCCATGATTTCAATAGCTACCCATTCCCTGCCCGGGCACATCAAAGTCGAAGGGGGAGATATGCTCCACGTTCCCGGATGTGCTGAACCCGCTGAGCCACACCACCGCCGGGCATGCACCAACCACGTTCGTCACATCGGCGTCTCCCTTCTTTGCCTCGAAGATTGACAGGACATGGAGAGGTCTGCAGTTGACTGCAGTGTGCGAGGATCCAGAACGGGATCCCGCCGTCGGTAGCCGGAAGTGTCGCGTTTCACCTCAAGCATCACGTGTGCCCAGGCTGCGGTGTTCAGAGAGGACAACCTCAGCATGGCTCAGGTCGCTTCTTCTGACCCAGCTCGCCATGTGCCCTGAGTGTCACACACAGCTTGATCTCTACTGAAGTACCAAAGAAGCTGACGTAGTCCATTTACACGCACTGCCCCCAAGCAACAGCACTCAATCTTCAACGCCACATGCATGACACAAACTTCCAGATTGAGCCTTCCATAAGGTAAGCTGAGCTTTGTTTACCGCTGAGGTCCGTAATCACAGGCAGATTCTACAATTTGTCGAGATTCAGTGAGGTGTACCTAGGTTTTGAACAATTTCCTTGCCAGTTGAGGTCATCATTTTTAGATCGTCAACACAGGCAAAGGAAGCTCCTGTCTGCGTGTGCACACTTACCGTATCCAACCAACTCCCTAGTTGATCAGAGTATCCGTAGAAAGTTTTCTTTACAAGTGCCGACTCTCTGAAAAGGATCTGATCAGGTCCCTTGAGTAACTGCCTTACGTAGATGTGCCATCTCGTACGTTCAGTAACGTTCAAGAGGTCGTCGGTGGAAAGTTGCTTCTTATCCGAGTGCTTGCAGGACACTGCTCTCTGCACGCCAAGATGTTACCCGCTGCCTTCCGCTATCGTTGGAAAGGCAGGTCCAATTAGAATAAGGTACCCGTACCTTCCTTACCTTCTTCCATGGTAGCAGGCCTGTGAACACTGAAGGCACCGTGGGCCGTGGAACCTTCCCTGAAATGCTGCACGGACACTGTTCCATGGCGCCCTGACATGCATGTAAACGCTCTCCCACCGCTCCGGTGCATCCTCGATATTGAATCGTTACTTTTCGCGCCCAATTTCACGCCAGCAATCCCATAAATACCTGGTTTTACTCTGTACAAAATTCCACATCTCCCGCCCCTCTCAATTTTCAATGTATTGATTGCCCTTTGGTACCTGACGAGTAGGGACGCATTCTGTCCCGCCGGTTAGTCCTCATTACCTTGCCCGAATAACCTCATCGCTTACCTTTGATCAGTGCGCATAACTACATTAAAGTTCATGAACAAGAGCTCCATCCTCTTTGCCTCATCAACCAATTTCGGTCCTCGCCTGATCAGCTCTGCGCTTCGAGTATTAGAGGTTCTTCTTCAAGCTCACACACAACGTGCGGTTGCATTCACTGAGGCCTGCTACCTCGCGTATCAAGAGTCACATCGTCATCTGAGTGTATCGACCTTTGGTGCGTCGAAAACCTGTGGCAACAGTTCACACATACGACCACAGCGTATTCCTTCACGCGTGCATTCTGGATATGCTTTCCAGAGTATAAGCGTGCCATGGATGCTTCCGGGCTTTTCGTCGCCGATGATAAGCAACCTGACGATGACAACATCTCCATCAGCTCCACCCTCGCGTCCGAACACGATTCTGATGAGGAATGGCTGGTAGAGGGTATCCGCGCTCAGTGTCGCGAAGGTGGGAGAGACAAATTTCTGGTAGAGTGGACTGGTTACCCCATCGAAGAGGCCACATGGGAGCCCGAAGAAAACGTGACGGATGAGCTACTTGGGGAATGGAAAGACACTCAAGCAAAGCAAGCTTGTGGGGAGGAGAAGCCGTTCGACATTGTCGCCTGGCAAGAAAGCGTGGTCAAGCGTCAAGAGGACAAATACCAGCGGCATCACCAGCGCAACGTTGAACGGAAAAAACGAGGTATCCAGCCTAGACTATGGGAGGGCGAAACCAAAGCGGATTATTATCTCAGCGACGAAGACGTTGGGGAGGATGATTACAACGCCGTATTCCCCCCTCCAAAGGCTGTGGAGCGAAACGAAGATGCGTTTTATTCTGATACTCAACCCTCCAAGATCGCCCCTAAGCAGGAGGTCGCAAAGGAACCAATCCTTCAGAAACGGGCTTCAGCGACAGAGAAATCAAAATCACCAACAAGAAAGGCACAATCCAGCTCTAGCCCTCAGCCACGCTCACAGCCACCTTCGGCGCTGGCAGCGGCGACTGAATATCAAGGAACAGCAAAGAAGAAGCCTCTGCCGGGCAGGGTGGTCAACAATGCGACAACCAGCCGGTTGCCGAATAGCGCGACAGCAACTGCGCGGACCACTCACAGGGCCAAAAAGACTGCTGTGAGCTCTAGGACAATGGTTAGATCACAGAACACCGGAACGGGCATCAATGTCTTCGCGGCCGGCAAGCAATCAAAGCAGCGCCGTCAACTCGTACAGAACGTGGCCGATCCTAACAAGGATGCTCGTCTTTTCTCAAATCACCGACTCAAGAGAAAAGCTGAGTTACAAGGTCGTGAGAAAGCGGACATGGCTCCCGCGGCAGTCCCAACGAAGCTATTCAGCATCAGCCGCGGGCCGCCTCCTGGAACCACTACCGGTACAAACATCAATCCGAGCACCAATACCACCGCTAGCATCCCTCGGTCTGTACTGAAGCGTTCAGTCGATGATCTCTCGACGAGGTCAGCCAGTGAGTCCAGTATGACAGCGTCGGAGAGGGCGGGGGTGTCGCACCCTCAAAATCTCGGTCAGCCCCAGACTATTCAGCCAACGACCAAGAAAAGGAAGTCCGTTCAGTTTGCAGACGTTCCGCTTGCCGATGAGCCAGAAGAGATGGACGTGGACTACCCGACTGCTCGGCCAAAAAGACTCAAGTCGCCCCCGATGCCTTCAGATCCGTCACAGTCTACTCAACCGCCTGCTAAGCCTCATTCTATCCTTCGCAAGTTATCAATAACAGACTACAAGTCGAGAAGCACAGGCCAAAACCACGACAAAACTGTCGTTTTAGGTCCTCCGGGAAGCAAGGACATTGAAATGACATTTGATAATGTTAGAGCCGACTCTGACGCTTGGCATTCTCAATTTGTTGACGAGAGACTGCTGCATTTCGCCAGAAATTTCACAGCCAGAACTTTTGCCTCTCAAAGGGCAATTGTTATTGAAAGGGTACTCGCAAATGGAAGCGTCAGGCCCAAGTCAAACAACGATCAAGTTGCTGTGGAGAGAGCAGCAGAACGGCTCCGATCAGGGGCGTTTGGGGTTGCATGCTTCTATGAAGACTTTCTCATTGTCATTTACCCAGCTGGGTGTGAAGATTGGAAGCAAACAATGCCTGAAGTCGAAGCCAACAGCCCGGCAAACGTCTATCTGAAATATGTCATCTTCAAGCCCCAGCCGGCTGTTAAGAAGCCTTTACCAATCAGACAGATCAACGCTTCAAAGATAGCTTCGCGAATTGCCATCTTCCGCGATCTCTTACGCCTCGACTACCATATGATTCTGCCCCCCGGCATTCGAAATGTACGCCACAATTTCTACCTGGCGTTTCCTCCATCTAGGGTGCTGTTACTCGAGGCTATGAGCGAGTGGCTTCGCTCAGAGAATCCCGAATGTAGGATATTCTCTACTAAAACGGGTGGCGACTGGGCCGCCTTTACCAACCCGAAGATTGTTACGCAAGGAGTAATCATTGTTCACGAGGCAGCCGCCGATTCGCTCCGACAGTTCCCTGGTTTGCTCAAGCTGCTTTTGCATAAGAGCAGTGCAACTTACGTCTTTTGGTGCATTGGGGAGTCACTCCAGCTGTCTCCCGCGTACCCATCTATTCGGTCTATGCACAACGAGATGCCAAAGCTGGGCACATTCGAGTTGACGAGATTTTTCCCCCACGGTAACGCAATTTTAGTTACGCCAAGTTTTCTGGTCTCTGAACCACGCCGTGCCTTCCAACTCTTTCAGTGGTACAATAGGACCTATCAAAAGCCTAGTAATAACCAAAAGATCGTAGCGGCGGCGAGCTTACGGGAGTATTTGCGGGATCTTGCGCATGAGCGATCCGCCCGCCGAGACGACTTGATGGCAGATGGTGACCTAACACGCCAGTGGTCAACGTCGAAGCGCGAGGATATAGCACGAATTGCAGGATTAAGCAAAGAAGATTGCACAGCTCGATTCGAGACATGGGCGATAGTGGAAGGCCTCCAATCGGTCATAGACACAAGCATTGTGCCGGATGAGCAGGTCGAGGCCATTGTCTTTGCTGATGGATCTATTGATGCCAACGACGAGCAAAGCTTGGTGAATTGGTTCGGCTGTTGGTCCCAAACTCGTTTCGACCAGTTCCGCAAGTTCCACGTTCTAGGAACAGATGGCACTTCCGACAATAGCCATCTGATCAAGGACGGCGACATTCCCATATATCCGCCTGGGGTTGGGCGCGATCGAGGAGCCGAACCAAATCCCGATGTTCCTGGCCCGCGTCAGAACATGTCAGGTTCCGACAATAATCTTGGACCACAAAGTGGAGGTAGCAAGCTTCTTGGAGGCTTGTCTGGCCACCACTTCCTGAGCAAGTTGAAGGCAATCGCTACTCGCAACGAACGTCCTAAATTGTGTCCATTTGGGAAGCTCTTTGGCTTTGCTGTCTCCTATTACGAAGACATTGCTAATACAGCTGACTCTTATGGAGACTTCCATCGCGACTTTTCAACATTCGACAAGTGGATGGAGTGGCCCTGGCCGTTCTTCTCATCCTACCAGGAGCGTTTCAAGCAACCTTCAGCACCCTATCATCTGCCGCCGACATTCAATACCTACTTCGCGGTTTTTTACACTCCTGAAGATGATCATCCAAGCAAACCACCACCGCGCCATCCCTGGCTTGCGATTTGGCGGGTTCGTGAGCCTTATGCGGCTTGGAAAGGAACCGAGCTTTTTATTTGGGACACCGCGGCCAAGGATCGATGTTCCACAGCGAACGAGGTCTACGAGTCTCAACTCTTGCAGGCACAGCAGCACCTTATACAGATGGTACGGGAGCGATCTGAAGACAAACATCGGGGCCTTCCTCTGCTAGAGGTCTGGTATGGTGGGTTCGAAACAGAGCCTTCGGAGTATACCTTGCCAGTCGACGTCACGTTCCATAACTTGGACGTGATGATGTCGGACTGCAAGCAATATCTTCCAGCGGTTGATACTTTATTACTGCGCAGGGGTTTCCGCAAGATTTGTCCCGGCGACGCGCCCATTGGGCACGGGCTTCATGCCACAGACTCTTCAATGGATATTGATATGATTGGCGGTCATCGAAATCAGGGCGGCGAGAGCAAGATCATCTTTTACCCGCCCAGAGCCATGAATCCGACAGGACAGAGCAGATGTGAGAATTTGTTCTACACCTGGGTGATGAATATCGACAGACAGAATCCTCGTCCCGCGTGGCCTTACACGTTCAGACCGACCACCGAGTGGTACCAGCAGCAGGTTGCCGAGAACCGGCATTTCGAGCACCTCAACGTTGCTACTTGGCAGCGGGTATTTGAAGTCCTCAGGTTGCCAACTGAGAAGAGCAAGGCCGAGTCGCAAGAGAGCGGCAAAAAGTGAAAAGAAAATCGGAAGAAAAGGAGTAGTCTCGTGCGGGCGGTTTCAGCCGTACGATGGCGAATCAGAGGGGTCGCATTTCGGGGTATCATGACCAGATACCAGAGGCAAAGCAACTCCGGACCTGAGGGACTGTATGTGATTATTGCATTCTAGCAGGCATGATACGGGATGGATACGTTAGATATCAAGAAAGCGTATGGCATGGATGAGATAGGGGACTGAAAAAATCACAACCCCTTTCTGAAGATGACAACTTGACTTGGTCACTATATGTATGCTGCGAGCGAAGTAGGCATGTGAAGCTGTTTTCGCTTCCTTCAGGTATAAGCGTGCTGACAGCATACACCGCCCGCCATATTGACCAATTTCCAGCGCCAAACGTGTCCAGCAATAGTAGATAAAGTCGCTCAGTTCCATTATTAGCCTTTCACTGATATGATACAGATTTCCGTATCCTCATAAATAACCAACCCCGCCCCGGTCCAGTGTCCCAAACGCATCTTTGACAAAAAGGTACATTTATCCACCAAGGCAAGGATAAATCACCTCGCGGAAGCAGGGAAGTTCCTCGTGCTGAGCAACACCCCCTTGACCCTCCGAATATTATCTCTCGCCTTCTTGATCTCGTCCTCGGGCTCGTTCTTGCGCGGGCCGCCGTACAGCGAGTAGCTGCTCCCGGCGTAGTCGGACGGGCTCGGGTACGCCAGCTGCACGAGGTCGTCCTTGAGCACGTCCATCTTGGACTTGAGGTCCGCCACGTCGTCGGCGTCGGCGACGACCGTGGTCTTGAGCCAGGCGGCCTGGTTCTTGAACCACGTCAGCTTGTCGGCCTGTCTGTCCGTCGCGGACTTGTCCTTGTCGCTGTTGCTGCCCTTGTTCTCCCCCCATGTTGCCAGGGAGGGCGTGGAAGGGATCGAGGTCTGCGTGCCGATGTCGCGGTGGAACATTTCGGTCGGGTCGTCGGCGCTGCTCGCGTCGTCGTCTGCTGCGTCCTTGTTTGCGCCATCTGCTGCTCCTGCCGCGGCAGACTTCTTGGGAGCGGGGATTTCGGAGACGGTGCCCTCGAGCTTCTCGATTATCTTTGCGAGGTTCTGGGAGGTTGTCTCGTGGAGGTCGTAGCGGGCTTCGGTGAGGTTCTCGACCATGGGCTGGACGAGGTACTTGCTCGTGCCGTAGAGGAGGGTGGAGATGCCGGCGAAGGCGTAGAGGGTGTTGAGGATGCCGTTTGCGGTGACGAGCGGCGGGGGGCGGGCCGGTTTTGTGAGGAATTCGGGGTAGGTTACCACGGGAGGTTGGTCTGTTTGGCGGGGGAAGGAGATTTCGTTTTGCGGTGGTGATGGTGAGGGTGAGGGTGAGGGTGAAGGTGTCTGTGATGGTGTTGTGTGTGCTAGTGCTGGTGATGCTGTTGTTACTTGACTTGAGCTTGGCGGTAACTGTTCTGTTTGAGTGGTCTGCAATTCGTGTTGTCAGTCATGAGAAATCCGCGAAACGAGGCAAAAGCGAAGCTGGGAAGCATACGTCTTGCGCCGGCTCAGATGCCGAGCTACCCAACAACTGCTCTATATCCTCTGGCGAGATGCCTTTGGTCTTAAGGAACGACTCCTTTGCTTCCCTCGGCGCATCCTTGATCTCATCATCCTGCAGGAACTTGCGGGCGACTTCGAGGCTGTCTTCGCGGGAGGAGACATCGTCCTGCTTCGCATCTTGTGAGATGGTGGTCTCCGGCTCGAGTTCGGGTTCTTTCTTTTGGCCGCGCTGCCATGACGGGATGCCGGGCGTGCTACCGCTGTCGTCGGAGTCGCTCATGGTTAGTGAAAAGAGATTGCGCCCTGTTGCAGGAGAAAGTTTGGAACGTTGTGTCTGTGAGAGCTGTCGAGATTGGCGCAATGTCGAATCGCGAATGAGCCGGGCGCTGGTCCGGAGGGCGGGTTGTTGATGGGGTCGGCGGTTCGGCACCTATGACCACATGCCTCGGCTGGGGAAGCGGGAAACGGAAGAGGCTGGACGTTCTTTACGGGGGTCACTGTTCCAGCACGTAACGGCCATTCGCTGACCTAGAGGCCCTTCAGTTCTACACGGTGCTGGGCTCAATGCACGGTGCCCATGGCGACCACCCCCAAAACGGGGCTTCCGTTTTCGACATCCGGCGCGCTTCAGCGGACTTCAGTGCTCTAGTGAAAGGCTGAACTCAAGGTGAGTAGGAACCGGACCAGCACAAGCAATGCTCATTGAGAATCCGTCTCAACTATAGCAATCGTTATCCATCTCTCGCCCGCCTCGAAAACCACCCTCGAGGTGTACTCTGTACCGAGTTTACTCCTGTTTCAAGCCAATAAAGCCTCTCAATCGGGATCATCCGATTCGCTCTGCCGCGTGGTCACCGACGATCTCCAACCGTCTCTTCAACTGGGCCATCCTTCACCGACATACCTCGCCGCGCAACCAGGGATTAAGGTAAGCTCGCACCGGGCCAATTGCTCATGTCGCTGTGTACCAGATGAGCAGGAGACAATTGGGGAGTGGACTCGCTAAGTAAAGGGGGACAGGAACGAAAGCTCACGCGCCAGGGGTTGAGAAACCAAGCGTCACACGAGAGAAACGCAGGAGAGCAAAGAAAAGAGAAGAAGCGACAGCTGCAGCACGCGCGCAGGAGGCGACAAGATCCAATCGATCCCAAAAGTCTCAGTTCCCATTTTCCAGGGGGTTCGCTTTTTTTTTCTGCCTTCTGCGGCTTGGCTTGGCCACAGCCACCAAAACCGTCCCAGCAAGGTTGTTCTGTGCCTGGTATCCAGTTGTGAGGGCGATAGGCCACCAAAAAGGCGATTATCCATCCCACTTGCCGTCCGCCTGTTTGCGCGCGCCCATCTTGCTTGCTGCGGCTAAGCGTCGTCTATCCTCCGTAAGGTATCAATCAATCGGTAAGCTCAAAATCCCATCGCAGATGCGACCTCTTCCGTTTAGCTTTTTCCTTGTCACTCCGTCACATCTCCACGCTGCACCTCCATCAAACTTCACCTCGTACTTGTCTCTCCTCCTTCAAATCACTATATCAACATCGCCGGATTGCTGTGCCAAGTCAAGTGAGGCAAGCGGCAACGACATCAATACGCAAACCAACATCTCGAGAAGAAAGAGAGACTCTATCGGCCGGGGTTGTGCACACTCCTCGAATCCGATTTGGTTCCACGACATAGTTCTTGTTGGGAAAGTGGCCGTGTCGAGACTCGAGAGTCCCCGGGTGGTTTAAGAAGAAACCGAAAAAGGCGCCCCGCGCGTGCGTGTGCGATTCATTAAGAAAAGGAGGCGTTGAAACCTACCTGGGCTAAAGTTGCATCTCGGCCAACTACATTGACTGCCTTACCTCATCTCCCGTATCAAGGGATCAGATTCCCTAGCAGCAGTGCCACCTCGCCTTTCCCCTTCCCCTTCCTTGTCTGGACCGGCCCCCCGAGCTTACCTTAATTCAACCTCCCGCGTCCAATCTTGGATAAAAACTCCCCCACCATCATCCCGAAACCACCCTAAACATTTTCACCCCGAGATATCCCATCTTCATTCCGTACATAAACCGCTCATACGTGGCGTAAACCCCCTTCGCGCGTCATTGTTCTTCTGCCAAGACAACCCACGAGACAGATCAGCCTTCGCATATACGCATATTTCCAGACATGGCTTCGCGACCGCGCCGCTCGGCGGCCAAGAAGGCGCAAGAACAAATTACTGACTGGGCCGATAGCGAGCGAACAAGCAGCATGTCTACCCGTGCTCGCCGCTCAGATGGCCGGACCTCGGGCGTGTCCCGCGGCCCGCCCTCGTCACCAGGAAGTGAGCACCTGAACCTCACTGTCAAGGTACCCGCGAACAAGCTTCGCGAGGCCACCAGCAGGGGGCGGAACTCGACGGGAAACAGCATTTCGGTCAACAGCGAGGTCGTTGCCGGCAGACGCAACCGTGGCCCAAAGAAGAGCTACGTTGTAGAATCCGACAGCGACGAGGAGGAGGAAGACGAAGACGAGGAAATGGAGGAGCCTGACGCAGATGGCGATGACGACGACATGGAAGTCGACGCCGAGGGCGAGGAGGAAGATGCCGATGGCGACATCGACATGGACACCCCTGCGGCCCCCACCATCAAGATCTCCTTGCCCAAGGCTGGAAAGGTTACTCCTCGACGACCAGCAGCGGCGAGGGTGATTGAGGACGATGACGATGACGAGGAGGAGCTCAGCGAGATTGAAGTCAGTGACCCTGAGAACACGATGAACATGAGCATCGATGTTGGAGGCGCCGGCGATGACGATGATGAGGACGACGATGACGAGGAAGACGAAGAAGAGGATGCCGAAGGCGAAGAGGAAGATGCCGAAGGCGAGGAAGAAGACGCCGAGGGCGAGGAGGAAGAGGAGATTGAAGTCGCAGACGAGACTGTGGGAGTGGATGCCGAAGGCGAGCTCGACAGCGATCTGGGCAGTCGTGAGGGCACACCCGATTTGACCAAGATGACGAGGAGACAGCGGGCTCGCTTCGAGGACGAGCCTCAGCAGTATATGAAACTCTCAGACGGTAAGAATGCGCTGTTTTGCGAGGCATCCTTACGAAAAGCAGAACACTGACATGGAATTACAACAGAGGTCCAAGCAAAGAAGGTCTTCACTGCTGAAGAATTATCTATGAGAAGGGCAGAAATGGCACGTCGACGACGCAACCTGTCTGACAAGCGCAACGAAGAAGTCAAGGCAAGTATTATCATTGTTTGCGGATGACTGGGCCATTTGCAGGCGCATGCTAACTGCCAAACAATAGATGGAAACCATCAACAAGCTTTTGAAGAAACAGGCGCCCAAGACCAAGGGCAAGGGAGCCAATGGCGAGGACACGCCCGGCGGCGGCTCATCGAAGCCGGATGTCGCCTTTGTCCGCTGGGTCAACTCCAAGAAGGGCAGCATCGTTGCTGTTCCTGAGGAGATTATCGGAGGACCGACTGGCAAGGTGTTTGGACCTCCAGGTCTGAAATCTGGCAAGATGGTTGAGGAAGTCGCATAGAAAGACATGGATGCGTTGAACCCCTTTCTTGAGGCTTGGCTGTTATTCTTCGAGGGATATCACAAGCTGTATTCGAGTTACGAGACACCTGGAATGCAGATGGGAGCTTACCTCCACTGTCAAAGGGTGTCGTTTGGGGGAGAGGGGGCGGCGCTAGGCGAAAATTGGCATCATTTCACAGTACACATAATCGGGAGTAGCCTAAAACAAAGTAACGGATCTAGACTTTTTACTTGCAAGGGCATACAGAGTACATGACCCGCACTCCATTGCTTCAGCCTTATTTCCAAAAGCATGCGACATGGGGAAGTTTGTGAAGACATCAGCTCACTGATTGCAAATCACGGAATACACAAGACCCCTAGGCTTCGGAGCTGGCCGTCCGGTCTGTCGTCAATCCAGCGCTCGACACATGAGCGGTTCGGCTGTGGGGTGATGCGACAAGCGACGATCCTTACCACGCTACGGAGCATCCCCGTGGAGCAGTCGCTGGCTTATATAATCAGATTGGTGGGAGATCCTTGCACAGAGCGAGAAGGCGTCAGTCATGTGGTGTCTCTCCCCCGCCTCAGACCTTGCCTGAAAGGATTCGAGCAATTGGCAGCTACTTCTCCGCAAAGGTACGGAGTAGCGATGGATACATCTGTAGCGAAGTTTCTGGACAAAGGTTTGGGCGAGCGTTGAGTGTTGCCCACGAGGGTGTTTTCAAGCGCCGAGTCAGCTAGGCAGATAGAAGCCAAGTAAGGTAGCGATCTTGGATAAAGCTTGGGTACCTTAGGTATCCGTAGCTTGATTTCCTCTCTACTTGGCCCGATAGACGGAGTGCGTCGCTTGCTTGTATAGTCTTCCCCCGAGCCTCATTGCCGACATGTGCGAGTGGCGCGATGTCCGAAAGAAAAAGCGGCGCGCACGTTGAAGCGGATCTGGGGGAAGAAAAAAATATGGGGTTTGTGATTTCAACCGTCGAATGCTGCAGTTGAAATGATTCTGATGGATTAGAAGTATTCAACGTCATGATTCACCGGCCGGGGGTGTTCACTCTCTCGGTTGGAGTTGAACTATGTTTCTTCCAGTCAGCAAGCTTACATCCCTCTGGGTGACTGGTATACCGCACAGCCTACAGTAGTACCTACCTCGGTAAATTGCTTTGGTACCGGTCCAATACTGGCTGACTGACGAGGTGGTGGTGGTGGTGGTTGACTGCAGCTCTCCGCGTCTGGGGTGTTCATGTTTCTTTCGTGGTCTAGGAAACCAACCACACCCCGGATCTGACCTGCAAGAAGCCGGGACGGGGGGGTTGATTGAGACCTACCTACAATATGACAGGCCACAACACCGGTCGAGCTTACTGGTCGGTGGACATGAGCGAGAATCAAGCAGCGAACCAGCTTGGCAAACTCAAGGAGATTGACAAGTCAGCAAGCCGCAGGCAAGCTCCATAAGATATCGAGCAATCAAGCAAACTCACGGGCACGCTGCAGCTCGCCAGAAGTTGCTGGGGGGGAGTAGAGGACCCTCCCGTCCTTTTGGCTTGTCATGCCAAGCCAATGACAGTGTCCTAGCTTGGAGACGGCTTCCAGTTGGAGGACCCTCTTTCTCGGATTCTACTGTGTTGGTAGAGGTGCTAGGTAGTGAAAAGAACGCGATACCGACGGGGCAAAAAGCCAGGGCAGGTTTGCCAGGCTAGAACAGCTGACCGACGAGGTTTTCCAAGTGGCATCCTCTTTCTGTGAGGTGAGAGGTGAGCTCGGATCCGATGCCGATGGCGATGTCACTCTAGGAGGGCAAACTTTTGCAGAGCCATGTCGCGTGGGCAATCACACCAAAGGTCCTGTCCATCGTCTCCCCACTTTCCAGGTCCTTAGCATCGAAAGCGCAAGGTTAACCAATCTTCAGAGTGAGTTCGTAAGGTATGTTGTACCGTCATTGCCAGGCAGGCAGGCCGGCAAGCACCTTGCCAAACTGGCCAGCTCAAGGTGACTTTTCGCGATATTGGATAATACCGTGGAAGGTATCCGTACGCCTATCTTAAATAGAGGTGGCACTCGCTGACAGGCACAAACTCAGACGCGAGGGCAAGTGCAACTAAAGTGGTGACATTGGACTTTGGTTCCCTGATGCTGCTTGGTGGATGTACTCCGTACTGTATGATGGATCCCTGCCCACCTTTTCTTAACCTTTGGGAAGGAGGGGAAAATTGGCCCTGGCGGATGTGCTTTCCCAACTACCTTAGCGTAAGACGCAAGAAATAGAGTCAGAATTGCCTTTCGCTTCTTTTCTGACTTTTTTTTGCTTGCCCGAACGAACTTCATGCCTTGTTGGACCCTGGAACGCCCCCTCGTCTCGTACACGTGTAGTAGGAGTGCGAATACTTGGGCTGGTTGATCCCCTTCTTTCACATATCATGGCGTTACCTTCTTCGCACGCCGAGGCGCCATCCACTGCTACATCCATGCCCAGCCAACAAGATCACCACCATTTTACGTCTGCATCTGCGTCTGCGTCTGCGTCTGCGTCTGCGTCTGATTCTACTACTGCTACTGCAGCTGCTACTGCTTCTGCTCTCCGTGGCGAAGGGGTCACCGCTCCTCCTTCGTCGGATCAAGGTGAGTGAATGAGACACAGGACGCTAAACCGAGGTGGTCCTGGCACCTTCTACCTCCTCTCCTTGACCTTCTCTTTCACCCGCGCGCTACTGGGTACGCGCACTACACAGTAAAGGCATCAAGTCCGATTGCTTGGTGTAGCCTGGCCCTTTCTTCACTTGCCCATCCTCCACCTTTTTTTTATATCTATTCCCATGTGCCTCCCCCCGAATTGCCCCAATACAGACAGAAATGGAATAGGTGGTAGACAGAGCAAGGGTCTGGACCATCTTGGCTTGCCCGCCGACACTTGACCCCAATACCTACCTATTCATACATGATGCCAAAGAGTGGCACACGCTACTCCAACACGACCCTCCTCCTCCTCCTTCTTCCTTTACCCCGTTTTCATTTTGTTCACGGCACCCTGGATGCGGTGCATGTTGCATGACTTATGAGTGTCGTGTTGCACAAAACCAAAACAGCGTGCAGGCCATATACATGACAGGATTGATATAACTAACAGTCCAGCCCCCTTGGAAACCAACATCAGGCCACCCGTGGCCGCGACCACCACCCCAGTCCCAGTCCCAGTCCCGGTCCCAGATCCAGACGTCGGCGCGCCCCAGCTCCATCACCCTCACCCGCACCACCAGCCCACCCCGCACGCGACTGCGACGGAGACGGCTGCGGCTGCTGCTGCTACGCCGCCAGCATTAGCTGCTACTGCTACTATTACGCCCGCGGCAACCCTGCCCGGAGCTTCACTTGCCCTTCATATAAAGCACACGGCGCCCGGTTCCTCGTCCCTCGACTCGCCTCTCATGCCTCCTGCTTCTCCTTCCCCGTCAGCTGCGCCGTCGGCCAACCCCTCGTCAAAGCCAAACCCATATCCTTCCTCCTCCTCGAACTCCAAGATGCTCTTCTCAGACATGTACAAGTCTCCACGCTCACCGCTAGCCAAGTTCCGTCTGTCCATGTCACAGCAGCCTCTGGCCTTGGACTTGCCCGATTACGATCCTGATTTACTAAGCAAGGACAAAGAAAAGCAAAAGGCAGCTGTCAAGAAGTACTTGACCGCCAAGATTCGCAATGATTGGGAATTCGTCTGGCCACCAGTCGTACCCCCACCTCAGAACGGCGATTCTACACCCGATGTTAGTGCAACACCCGAACAAGACGCCGCCGAGCAACCGCAACAGGAAACTTCTGAGCCAAAGGTCGAAACTACGGCGAATTCGAACGATGAAGCCATCCACACAACAGACAGCGAAGAAGACGACGACGACGACGAAGAAGAGGAAGACAGCGACGCTGAGTCTGTCTACAGCACCGTCTCAGAAGACGCGGCGCGTTTCAAACCTCGCCTAGAATGGGTATCTGACCTGTCCGACGAAGATCCTCCCCTGTCTCTCTCTCCATTCCGTTTCGACAGCCCCGATGCAATCGGCGCGACAGTCAAGGCGTCTATAGCAGACAAGCGTGCGCGGAGACGGCGAGCCCTGCGCGAGGAGATGGAATGGAATGAAGGGTTGGCTTGCTTTGAGGCAAGGCGCAATGCCTGGACAGGCGCAAGAACGGTGCGCGTTCGCACAAAGCCCGTTTCTCCCACGCAGACGTTCTCACCTCTGTCCCCACGCCGCCTCTTCTTCCGCACATCATTCTCCCATCCTCAACCCGCTCCCGCCTCACCAGCGTCGCCTGCGCATTCCCTGCAACAGCGGGTGAGCAACGAAGCTTCAGCCGCTGTCTCAGACGGCTCTGAGCTCTCCAAGGACCCGTCCAAGGAACTCACCGCGATAAAGTCTAAGGAGTCTCAAAAGTCGACGGCATCTCCCACGTCAACGACATACCCCGTCGAGACACTCATTCCTGTTCCAGCGCCACTGCTCCCTCCGGGTAACCCAATGCGCGCATCTATAACTCCCTCCGTATACATTTCCCTGTACGAGAAGGTCATTGTCCACGCGCTGACACCATCATGTCCCGTCAACTTGTCAGACATGATTCGGGCATGTGTGGTTGGATGGAAGCGGGATGGCGAGTGGCCACCGAAGCCCTCAGCCGCGGAGCCCGGCATTGTGGCTGTACGACGGCGCAAGAAGTCAGTGACGGACGGGCAGGGCCCGAATCCCACTCGTAGGATGAGCTTCGGCTTTTTGGGCAGAGGCGAGAAGGCACCTGAGGGCCAGGACGACGGCACCGGAAAGGGTATTAGGAAGAGCCTTCAAAGAGTGCTGGGTCTTGGGCATCACCATACTGCCTCCACTGGCTCTGCCAATGGGGGTAACAACGGCGCATAAAGGGTTAAGGCATTGTCATTGTGCAGGCTTCTTTACGAAGGATGATGATTATGATGAAAGGAGATTCAATATGGATGACATTTTCCTTTGGGTAATAGGCATCTCGAAGGCACAAAAGGGGCTTGAATATGGAGGTTCCATGAGTTCATGACTGCATGGGACGGGAAAGTTGTTCTTGCGACATATACCCATACATTTCAGTAGTTGGACAGTCAGTGGCAGCATGCCGCATTAATGAACACGGTTCTCTTGGTGCATAATATGCCTTCAGCATCTCTACTGCCGCTGTTGATACATGATCATGAACCAAGGCTTAGTTGCTGAAAGATGCACCGTTCATGCCTTCAACTGCAAAGGGATGAATTGAATATCTATACCATGCAAAATCTAGTAGACAGAGCGTTGTGGGAGAAGTGGGGGATGACTATCCTCCTGGCGTCAGCATGCTGGCTATGATGGGGTTGGATGAATGTTATGTCGACAAGCCATATCAAGATATGCTCGTGCAAATGGAAACTACATTATTTAACGCTTGGTTGCAAATGGGAACCTACTGCGAGTACCTTGCTTTAAAAGGAGACAAGCAACGTAACAAAAATCATCCGCTTCTTAACGTCCAGCATGTGCAACTTCCGGAGCGAAATCTCCCTCTGTGGAAATCTTTACTTCTAATATTTGAGATGAATCTGGCTTGACATACTTCCTCCTTCTACTTTCCCATCTTGTTGAAGCCTTCGTATGTGAGTATATGAAAGCTTGATGGGTGTCCAGCACTCTTTAGCCTCAAAATCACCAGCCTGCTTGACAACGTGTGGCCTCGATAGATCCCGGAAAGGAATAAGATAAATGAGAGGCGGAAGTACTCCTAGCAAATGTAGGCTCACGAACCCCTCTGTGTTCGACCGGAGCCTCTGTATCAGGTTCGGACTCTGCCTTTGACTATCTAGTTTGTGGTGTTTCCTCTTCTTCTTTCAGGTTGAAAGGCTCCCCAAGAAAGAGATCAAGACAAACTCCAGCCCATGGGTATGTGATCACAAACTGCAAGTTGGCCACTTCAAGTAAGTCTAGCTGCCGCGGGCTATCCAATTAACCATCTTCATTAAAGGGACGCAAAGCTTGCTGGGAAATAAAACCACAGTTCCCAAGTGTCTCTTGTCATCTCTGGCTAACCGCCACAGGGTACACTTCGAGCTGAGCCAACATGAGTGAACGCAAAGTAGCAAACCATTCACTTCACCAACAACTGCATGTACAAAGACTCAACTGTGCTCGGTCTGTGGCACGTGAGTCTTTTCACGGACAAAGCTGGCATGTACATGGCGAAGTATTTTCCAAGTACGCCAATATCAACAGAAACAGAAACGAGAGAAAAGGCCCACCTTCGCACCATTGAGAATTACGTGAGCATAAGACTTTCGATAAAGTATAAAAACGCGAACGCTGACTGACCGAACGTGAGATCCCACACAAGGGACAATGGGCCCTCGGAGCAAGTCGTCAACTGCGAGATGTCCATGAACTGGACTCTAAGTGAGATAGGGCGGGACCTTCAGTCTGGGAATATGAGCCAGGATATCTTTCTCATGCAGGCACGGTGAACTACGGCAGCTTTCCTCCTTTCCATCAGTCTCACTCGAATAGGTACGACGGTATCTGCTCAACCACGCCAGTAAAGGGTCTCAATAGGTATAAAGAAACGCGTGACTGCTACGTGGCAGAACAGGACACGCCTGGAATCTGTCGCTGGTGTGCCTCAAGTGGGTAGAGCGATTAGGTTACAATGAGATGACAGGGTGACCTATCATACCTATATTTAGGAATTGCTTAATGATAATTCTTTTGCTCTCCAGGTATTGTTCCCGAAATTCTTCTCTATCTAGCTCGTCCGAGTGGGTGCGGCGTATCCGTTCTCGGATACGTTAGCACGAGAGTCGACTATAGGTAGGGCTTACTCAACTTTTAGGTATAAGGTATCCGTTCACGAATACGCTCAAAGGCGGAGCTGACGATCTATAAGAGATGGCTGTATAACGAAGTTAAGGCTTGCGTAAGGATTAGTTATAAGGCCATTATTATCACTCTTATCGTCATTGTCACCGGAGACGGACAGCCGCGTTCGCTTACAACGAGCCAGTCCCGCTCTGCCAGATTGGGGACGGTCGGGCGCAGAGGCACACTACTCCATGCGTCGAGCTTCCCCTGTTTTATACCTCACTGTAGTTGACTACCGTCCTCCAGCATCCGTAGTTGTATCTGTAACTCAATGAACTCAACCTGCTTAGCTTCTCTGCTCTCAAAGCCCTCCCGCCCGCAAGGCAGACATTGAAACTTGATCTCGTATGGTGCAATGCTCTATCGATAATGATAATATGACATTGCGGGCACTGCGGTATCTAGCAATCCTTGATCCTGCCATGGTCTTGGGACGCCCGGTGTACGCAGGAGGACGAGCTCAATTAGTCCAGCACCTTACATAGCTGACGTCTTTCTATAACCTTACTCACTTCGCTCCCAATGCCCATCTCCCTTTACAATAAGCCTGCTGCTGGTTTGCTCTTTCTTGGACACATCAGAGGAATCCGGCACCAACATTCAACTTCTCTGGAGTGCTGGTCTGTCTTAACTCCAAGAGCTTCTCTTCAAGTTAGACCTGGGAACCTACTTTGACAAAAATAGACAACAAGAATCACGAGTTCGGACTCCAGGTATCTAACAAGTATTTTGACGACGTTGGATATTAAAGGCTCACTGATTCTCCAAGACAGTCAATGAACATCACGAAAGGCCATACTGAGCGCTAGCAGAAGACAGCCTATTCACCATGGAGATGCAAGCCGAACCTCTATATTCTCCCGGCTATGAATATAAGACTGGAATTGTCAACTAAGTAGGGTGGACTACTAGAGCCATCGATGGCTTCGAAACCCTCCGCGTTTAGTAACACGCGCGTTGTGCATCTTCGTTCGCGAGGACGTATCATTATCAAAATCTAGATATTCAAGACGTTTTCACCTCCAAGTAGCATTGCTCATCATCTTACGCACATTCCGACCGGAATACACTCCATAGACTAGACGATGTTAAAGAGAACTATCTACAGATGAAAGAAAGTGTGAAATCCCTACTTTACCCCCCAAAGCAGCCGCAGGCGCGGTGGGCTCCCAGGAGCAGGTTGACAAGGAACTGGCCACCTCGGTTCGACGGAAAAGAATGGCTGAGAGAGCGCTGCTGAGCCGAGAGGGTGAAGCGACCCCGACTTTTTGTATCAGAAAACTGGAAGACCAAACAAGAGATCTCTGTTTGGGTAGCTCCTCATACCAATAGTAATATGCCTCCCTCTCTCATCGAGCCAATAGTCTCCAAGACGACGTAGGGTACAGCTCAGCTCAGCTCAAGCTGTCTATTTCATGCCACGGCTGCTCCAGCCGAAGAAGCGCGTTGCAGCTTGGTAATCCTATCGAGTGAGAAAAGTGAACTCTGTAGCGAGCAGGAAATGGACAACACATTGTGAGCAACACGCCGGCGCCTGGACAGCAAAAGACTTCATGTCGTTAGTGACTTTCCCCCGACATGCCGGCTCGAGGGTTCACTGCTCCAAGTCGAGGCGGTGGCATCCGTGTGATTACTTTAGAAGATGTTGGCCAAGTGACGGCATAGTGCCGTTGCGTCGATTAGAACCTTTGGGCAAGGGATATTGCCAATTATATGATGAGACGTCCACGTCTAGGATTGAGGGTGGAACTCTTGCTATTGGTTATAAACCAAATGGGAGAATCACGAGCATGTCACTAGTCGGGAAGCATGGCGAGTCACTTGCATTGGGGGGAAAACGGCTGAAGAAATAAGGAGATTCTCTCAACTACAAGAGGAATTAAGTAGATTTCTTGGTACACAGCTCACAAAAGAGACTTGGATTGAGCTAAGAAACCTCCCCGTTCCATCGTTCCTCTTCTATACACAGGCTCAACGCCCCAACTCTCGACGTCATTTGGTATTTTCGTCGCGAATCGTTTAGTTCTTCTCCAACTCCGCCAGAATCTTCTCACCCTTCTCCTTGGCCGAGGCGAAGTCACCGACCATGTAGAAGGCACCCTCGGGAAGGTTGTCACCCTCACCGGAGAGAATGGCCTTGAAGGAGGAAATGGTCTCCTTCAGGTCGACCAGCTTACCCTCGATACCAGTGAAAACCTGGGCGACGGTGAAGGGCTGGGACAGGAAACGCTGGATCTTACGGGCACGCTCGACGGTAAGCTTGTCAGCCTCAGAAAGTTCGTCCATACCAAGAATGGCAATGATATCCTGGAGAGACTTGTACTCCTGGAGAATCTGCTGGACGCGGGTGGCGGTGTCGTAGTGGTCCTGGCCGACAATACGGGGGTCCAGCATACGAGACTTGGAGTCAAGAGGGTCGACAGCGGGGTAGATACCCAACTCGGAGATACCACGGGACAAGACAGTGGTGGCGTCCAAGTGAGCGAAGGTGGTGGCGGGGGCGGGATCAGTCAAATCGTCAGCAGGGACGTAGACGGCCTGGACGGAAGTAATGGAACCCTTCTTGGTGGTGGTAATACGCTCCTGCATACCACCCATGTCGATGGCGAGGGTGGGCTGGTAACCGACGGCAGAGGGGATACGACCCAGAAGGGCAGACACCTCGGAACCGGCCTGGGTGAAACGGAAAATGTTGTCAATGAAGAGCAACACTGGGGATTTGTTAGCATTTCGATTCATTATCAAGAGCGAATTCTCAACTCACCATCCTGTCCCTCCTCGTCACGGAAGTACTCGGCAATGGTAAGACCAGTCAGGGCGACACGGGCACGGGCACCTGGGGGCTCGTTCATCTGACCGAACACCAAGGCGACCTTGGACTCGCCATCAAGCTGAATGACGGAAGTCTCCTGCATCTCGTGGTACAGATCGTTACCCTCACGGGTACGCTCACCGACACCAGTGAAGACGGAGTAACCACCGTGGGCCTTGGCGATGTTGTTGATCAACTCCTGAATGAAGACGGTCTTGCCGACACCGGCACCGCCGAAGAGACCAATCTTTCCACCACGAGCGTAGGGAGCGAGAAGATCGACGACCTTGATACCAGTGACGAGAACCTCGGCGGTGGTGGACTGGTCGATGAACTCAGGGGGCTCGGTGTGAATGGGAAGGCGCTTCTCGGTCTTGATGGGGCCACGCTCGTCAATGGGGTCACCAGTGACGTTAATGATACGGCCAAGAGTCGCGGGACCGACGGGAATGGTGATAGGGGCACCAGTGTCGGTGGCAGGGCGGCCACGGACAAGACCTTCGGTACCTAGGGGGATTGTGAGTACGAGCGCGAAAAACTTTTTCAGGGGAGGAAATACGAACCGTCCATGGCAATGCAGCGGACGACATTCTCACCCAAGTGTTGCTGTGCAGACGTGTCAGATGAAACTCGACTTTTACTAATTTGCAGTGGATATTTTTCCAGCCGCCAAAGGTACGTACCGCGACCTCAAGAACCAGCTTCTGGTCGTTGTTTGTCGTCTCGAGGGCGTTCAGAATGGGGGGGAGCTTGGCGGTGTCGAACTTGACTGTATCCACGCGTTAGTATTTGATGATTTCGTGATGGTCGAACCCCTTTGAAGGGTTTTCTTCGGATAGTACGAACCGTCGACGACGGCACCAATGACCTGTTGGTTTGTTGTTGTCAGTAACCGACATCGCCCTCGGGTCAACGGAAGGGATGAACGAGGCCATCACTCACCTGGTAGATCTTTCCATCACCGACACCGGCAGTGCTGGCGAATCTGCTGGAGGCAGGGAATCTGAAGGTAGAAGGTCTGATGGCGCGAGGAGCGGTCGCCGCAAAGGAAGGGCGAGCCGCCCGGGCGAAGGAGGAAATGCCGCTGCGAGGGACCGGTTAGCTCAATTGGGGCCAATTGAACGCGATATGGTTCAAAAAGTCGATCAGGTAGTTGGTACCAACCTCTTGAACATCTTCACAGATGATTAAGGGCGACTTCGGATGGGAGTGGAGAGGTGATGGTTGAAAGTTGGAGGAGGACTTAGGAGGAAGTGAGCAGTTTTGCTCGGGATGTACGCTTCGTCGGTTAGAGCTTTGCTCGGGGGCGTCACGTGACCGGAATCTGAGTAGGAAAAATTACCTCGCTGCGCTAGTCTCGATATGGATGAGCTCCTCTCTCCGGGATACACCGGGTCCACGCTCGGGTTCAATTGGAGCACCGCAGCCTGGCACGCCTTGGGAGCTTCGCCCTCAGGAAATGACGGGAAACTTTTTTTCTTTTGGCCTGGCTCCAAGCTGCCAGACTCGCCCTTCAACCTGGAATTGAAGGATCCCACTCGGCGTGGGGACTGCGGGTGAATCTTGCAAATGTTGGGGCCTTGTTGCCTTTCCCAGGCTCTCCAGGCACTGAAGAAGAGAAAGGACTCCGGTGCGGGCTCCCAATGCCTACGTGTCCCCGATCCCCCGGGTGACGAGAGCCGTCGCCCCCAGGTGCCAGCTTGCATGCACGCTTCAGTCCCTGACTCCCTTCCTCCCCTCCGAACATCGCCATATCCGTCCGAGCCGAGGTGTCTCCGCCGACAACTTGACATTCGCATTGAATCACTAACAATAGCTGATAGCTCCACTCGCCATATGTTCCTACCTAAATTCATCATGGCTTTCGTATTCCCACGAGTATTAGGTGCAGCAATAATGTTTTTCAAAAACAACCAAGTACTTCACGACTGACGAGGAGCAACGTTCATGCATGAGTATTTACATTTCCGTGCATTATGAATCCAGCTTAAGCACCTTGCCAACTCCAAGACTCCGTAACAAGGGAAATATGTATAACATAAGCTCATTGTCTGCGACAGCCTTATGCACCACTCTGGCCAGCCTCGCGATACTGCTCAAAGGTGACATCCTCTGGCCGCGATCCAGGTTCAGCGTCCTCGTCAGCCATACGCCGCTCCAGTTCCAAACGGCCGTCCTTGCCCCAGTATCCGGCTTTCTCAGTGCCCTTGACGCAACCTTCGGTGATCAAGACGTATGACATCGGCGCATCGAAAATCGGCTCTGCCAAAACTCTCTCCATCTCCATCTTGAGGCCTCGAGCCCCGGTCTCGGCCTTCGCAGCACGTTCCGCAATTGCATATAAGGCTTTCTGCGTGAAGCGTAGCTTGGAAGGGTATGTTTCGAACAGAGCAGTGTATTGCGCAACCAGGGAGTTACGCGGCTCCGTCAGAATTCTGTAAAGATCATTCAAGGATAAAGGACTAAGTGCACAGATGTTGTGCACTCTACCAATTAGTTCAGGGATGAATCCAAACGCCTGCAGGTCTACTGGCGTCGTGAGGTCCAAGGGAGTGTATGCTGAGGCTGGTGCCTCGGGGTCAACATGTGGCAGATGCGAAAATGATTGGCGCGGTAAGTCGTGCTGATTGCCGGCGAGGCCATGTTTTCCTTTCAGTTCTGAGCCGAAGCCCATGGATGGCTTCGATACTCTCCGGACAATAACTTTGTCAAGACCAACGAAAGCACCACAAAAGACGAACAGAATATTTGTCGTGTCGATTGTGTACTGATCGACCTTGCCCTGAGGTGGAGTCGATTGAGGGGCTGACGTTGAACTCGAAGAAGTATAATTTGTTGTAATAGGAGGTGTTGATCGTGACGAGCGGTTGTCCTTGACGTTGATTGTTACTTTGGAGCCTTCGACGAGCTTGAGTAAAGCTTGCTGAACGCCTTCTCCGCCAACGTCGCGGCCATTCATGCTCTCCCTTTTCGCCAGCTTATCAAATTCGTCCAGTACGATAATTCCCTGCTCTGTAGCCTTGATGTCGTAATTCGATTCGATCAGTAGTCTCTCTACGCATGTCTCGACATCCTGTCCGATATAGCCGGCCTGGGTGAATCCATTGCAATCGGATATCGTGAACGGTACGTTGAGCTTCTTGCTTAACGTTCTGTAGCATATTAGACTCCCGGCAGACATTAAGGGTATCCATGGCAAGCCTACTCTAGTATGTATGTCTTTCCGACACCGGTGGGACCGATGAGCAGTAAGTTGCTCTTGTCAATCTTGACTGGAGGAGGGGTTGCAGGTTCCTCGGCAAGATAGGAACCGTCGAAACTGGTGGACGACTCATAGCCTTCATCCAAGTGTTGGGTAGATTCAGCATGGCCAGGGAACTCATCTTGGGGCCACTCGTCATCAGCAGGAAAGCGCTGGAAGGCAGACTGACGACCTCGCTGACCTTGAACAGGATGAATGTCACGCCTCTCGAGAATGTCTCTATCTCGGGCATAGCGTTGCCTCTCGGCCTTTTCTCTCTGTAGCTTCTCCTCGTGTTCCTGGTGCCTTCTCCGCCGCACTCCTTGATAGTGGTTGAAGATGGTGGAGCAGATGGTCTTCTTCGCTCGATGTTGGCCGACAACATAGTCGTCTACACGCTTCTTCAGGTCTCGGGGATAGAATTGCGGAACTCCGAAGTTGTTCTTGTTGAACATGGGCCCGCGGCCAGTATCACTAGTCGGATCATAACTGCTTGTGAAACCCGAATTGAAGTCTTGTGAACGTCTCGGGGCGGTTCGAGCAGCGGAGGAGGCGGAGAAGGTGCGCTTAGCACTCGAGAGGAGAAGGCATCGTGCGCATGTATAGGCCTGCGGCCTCGTGGATAGAGCCATTGTTTCGGGTGCCCGATCAAGGGACCATAGTCAGATAGCCGCCGTAATTATTCGTGAAGCTCGTCGCTATCGATCGTGGCCTTCGTGTTTGGGGGACGTCGGTAATGATGACGGGGAGTCCGGTGACCGGAGGGGATGTCGTGAGAGTGTGGCTGGCTCGATAGATAGGCCGGATAAGGGACCTTGCCCAGAGCTGTCGGCGGTCGTGTGGCCCGGATGCGGGGTTGGGGAGCTGGAGCTCCAGCACAGCAGCGCTTAGGAGCGGCTAACACTGGGGAAAGCTCCCAGCTATCAGCTTGCACTTCGAGAATGGTTTCTAGATTGCTCACCTTCCTAAAGTCAATTCCCATGGCACCAGAGCTTGCGTTAGCTTGGTATACCCCGGCCGCGATCACTGGCATATCTTGGATTCTGCCCTATTTGGGAGTGGTAATCGAACCAGATAGGACCGATCAAGCTTTTGGTGCGAAGGTACTGTGGCCCATGTCCATGCCTGAGCCTGGGCTGCCCATTGAACATCTAGCAAAATACTGAGAACAATGGGCCATGATAGATTACTATGGCTGCCCATTGGATCTACAAGACCAGGCTGCACATTGTGAGGGGATGAATCTTGTATTGTATTGGGGAGTGAAGGGCGTTTTGTTAGTTCTGGAAACAGCCGTCTCTAACGGTTTCCCAATGCGGACCGTGAAATTTAACGTCGGTTTACTCTGTTAGAAAGTTCTGTTTGGTCCGTATAAGTTGTCATACCTGTCTATCATTATGCAGAAATATGAAGAGAAGTGTGTTGGACGACTGGTGCATCTGGTGTGAATCACCCGAAACTACTTTGTTGCGCCTCTAGCCCACCCCCAGAGTTCATGTTAGCAGAAAAGCTCCACCACTGTGCGTCTGGCATGCAATTCTCAGAGGGCCCACGACGTATCGGTGATGGCATTTGGCGACGATAACGACATATCGGTCCCACCAACGCTGATATTGATAACTCGTACTCGTCTCCCCTGTTCCCCTTTCCTCTTCTTACTGGTTGATGGAGGGCATTACCTATCGACGTTACCCTCTTTTCCTCACCTCGAAGGAGCAAGGTGCAAACCCGGCAACCAAATAACGCCTCCATCAGTCCATCGAGTGAGAAGACGGGGTTGCCGAGCAAATTCAAGTACCAACGCGGAGTTTCAGCCGCTAAAAGAAGTGCCTCAACCTTCAGCGTCGCCTTTTCGCCTTGGACTTCGGCTGGATCAACTGGATGAGCGCTGTGGGTGTGCTGGGGGCCAACCACCAGTTCCACCACCCTTCCGGAGGTGGCGATGAGTCCAATCGGCTGCGCGGCGCCTTGGTCGTCCATCAACCCCGTTTTGATTCGGCCGGTGAATTTTTTGTTGTTGAGAATTGAGATGCACCAAACAGGCATCCCCAGGGAGGGGTTCTCGAGTGGCGGCAGCATATTTTTTCTCGTTCCTACCTTGCCTTAGCGTCCTGCCACTTCCGATGGAGCAGCAATTCTCGTTGAATTGGTCGCACCAGTCAGGCCAACCATCAGTGAGGTGATGAGAGGAAGGCCTGGACCTTTGTTCCGTGGGTACCACTGGTGGTGCTTCATCCTATCGAGATGTATGGGGTAATACTTTTGGTTACCTTAGCATAGTGTAATTACTGACCGGGCTGCTTTTTGCGAGATGCGAGCTCCCAGCTGCGTTGCCCCACGACGTCATATCATGCACAGCGCCAATTGATATACCTTGAGCTCTCCCTTCCCATCCTTAGGTCTGTGGTTTGGAAGGTTAAACCCATCCCAAGCTTATCCCGGCACTGCGGGGGAATTATCAGGCAATCCAAACAGACTGTTACTGGCATTTGTCCAAGAAAGCAATCATCTGTGTTTATTTCTCTCCCTTGCATCTTCCTTCTCTACACCTAATCCAACGTCCAACGCTTGATCGAGAACCCCAGACTCGCTCAATTCCTGCAGAGATTGCTCCCAATCTGCGCATTCCTTGCCTAGCTCCAGACCCCTACCGACCTACGTTAGGAAAGGCGTGAAATCTCCATCGAGCTCAGGTACTTGCTTGGCTCTTCCGTCACATAGCTGTCCTACCTTACCTTGCCTCACCTCACCTTACCTCAACACTTTGTGCGGGGAGCTTTCCATTGCTTCCAATCCCACCCCTCGCTGCCTCTTCCCTTCTCACCTTACCCTGCTTCACACTGCCGACCATCTCTGAACGACACCTGACGTGCTTTATCTGCCCTACTTTAGATCGAGTTCAGCTCAAACCACCGCGGTTCTGCCCCGCACCATCAACTTCGTCTTACCACCGCAAGCTCTATCGTCATCAACCAACATGGCCGCTGTTGCTCAGAACTCTGCCAATACCATCGCTCTAGACGGACCGAGCGGTGCTGCCGATGGCTTCCCAACCGACGGCACTGGTAAGCTTCCTGATCATATCTCCTTGTAGGGCCACTGTCTAAAATATGTCAGGCGTTGTCAAGCTTGACCCCTGGCTGTCGCCTTTTCAGGAATCCTTGAAGAGGCGCTACTCTCGCGCTCAGGACTGGATCAAGAAAATCAATGACACTGAAGGTGGGCTTGAGAAGTTCTCCAAGGTAAGTCAAGTGAGCTCGTATTTTCCTTCCAAGAGCTAAGTTGGGTGAATAGGGCACCTCACTCTTTGGATTCAATGTCGACCAGGACAACAACATCATTTATCGAGAATGGGCACCCAACGCCACTCAGGCTTTCCTGACTGGTGACTTCAGTGAGTTGAATCGTATGTAGTATACCTGCACACGCTGATTGGGTGGCAACAGATAATTGGGACCGGAACTCTCATGAGATGAAGAAGAATGACTTCGGAGTTTTCGAAATTACTCTTCCCGCAAACAATGGCCAGGCTGCAATCCCTCACAACTCCAAAGTCAAGGTACGCTCATTTCACAGTATTTCTGACGCGTGGTTGGGCTCACATCATTATAGATCTCCTTGCAACTTCCCAGCGGCGAGCGCGTCGACCGGCTCCCTGCGTGGATCAAGTACGTGACGCAAGATCTGTCCGTATCCCCAGCCTACGATGCTCGTTTCTGGAATCCTCCTGCGGGAGAAAAGTACGAGTTCAAGTACCCGAGGCCACAAAAGCCTCGCAGCGCACGCGTATACGAGGCCCATGTGGGAATCTCATCACCCGAGTTGCGCGTTGCAACTTACAAGGAGTTCACCCAAAACATGCTGCCCAGAATCCGAGATCTCGGATACAACGTTATTCAGCTCATGGCAGTTATGGAGCATGCCTACTATGCCAGCTTTGGGTACCAGATCAACAACTTCTTCGCCGCTAGCAGTCGTTACGGACCACCGGAAGACCTCAAGGAATTGGTCGACGTGGCTCACAGCATGGGAATCACTGTGCTTCTCGATGTTGTTCACAGCCATGCCTCCAAGAACGTTCTGGATGGACTCAACGAATTCGACGGCACAGACCACCAATACTTCCACGAGGGAGGACGTGGCCGCCATGAGCTGTGGGACAGCAGGCTGTTCAACTACGGTCATCACGAAGTGATGAGATTCTTGCTCAGCAACCTGCGGTTCTGGATGGACGAGTACCACTTTGATGGTTTCCGTTTCGACGGTGTGACGAGCATGCTCTACCAGCACCACGGTATCGGAACGTAAGTGCTCAACATGTGTGAGACCATTCCTTGACTATTTCTTGCTAACAACTACTAACTATAGTGGATTCTCTGGTGGCTACCACGAGTACTTTGGGCCGGACGCTGATGAGGAGGCGATTGCTTACCTCATGATTGCGAACGAACTGCTGCACTCATTGTACCCGGAAGTTATTACCATCGCTGAGGATGTTTCGGGTATGCCGGCTCTTTGCCTGCCGCTCTCCCTCGGTGGTGTTGGCTTCGATTATCGACTCGCCATGGCTGTCCCGGATATGTGGATCAAGATCCTCAAGGAGACGAAGGACGAAAACTGGGACATTGGCAACATCTGCTTCACTCTCACAAATCGGAGACATGGCGAGAAGACCATTGCCTATGCTGAAAGTCACGACCAAGCGTACGTTTACCCTTTGTACGAAACTCACGACACTCGAAGCTAACAAAGTACAGGCTTGTGGGTGACAAGACCCTCATGTTCCATCTTTGCGATGCCGAGATGTACACGAACATGTCAACTTTGACTCCCTTGACGCCGGTCATTGACCGCGGCATGGCCCTCCACAAAATGATTCGTCTGTTGACCCATGGTCTCGGCGGCGAAGGCTACCTGAACTTTGAGGGCAATGAATTTGGCCATCCTGAATGGCTTGACTTCCCGCGCGAGGGCAACCAGAATTCGTTCTGGTATGCTAGACGCCAGCTGAACCTCACTGATGATCATTTGCTTCGATACCAATTTTTGAACAACTTTGATCGCGCAATGAACACTACCGAGGGCAAGTACGGCTGGTTAGCCGCGCCTCAGGCGTACATCTCTCTCAAGAATGAGAATGACAAGGTCATTGTTTTCGAGAGGGCTGGCGTAGTCTTCATTTTCAACTTCCATCCCACTGAGAGCTTCGCGGACTACAGAATCGGCATTGATGTGCCCGGCTCTTACAAGGTTATCCTCAACACTGACTCCAAAGACTTTGGAGGTCACGCGCGGGTGGATGAGGGAACCCGATTCTTCACCACTGCCATGGAGTGGAACAACCGCAAGAACTGGACTCACGTCTACATTCCCAGCAGATCTGCCTTGGTAAGGTTTCCGTATACAATAACAGGATCTATGAGACTAACAGTGTGTAGGTGCTTGGCTTGGAGTCACCCATCTCCCAACACTCCTAAACAGTGCTGTTACGGTGAAGAGGCAGAGGGCCATGGATAGTGGAAGACAACTAGAGAAGGGGAAAGAGAAGGAGACTTACTTACCAAGCTAATCGCAATTGTCATGAGTTATGCAAAAGCACCGTGTTTCTAGAAACCAAACCCAATAGATTTACCACCTGTTCTTTCAAGCTCCTCTTCATGGCTACCTTACATTGGACCACAAGTGAAGAGGCGCCCATTGGCAGCCTGTGAACTGTGATATCTTTCCATACAAGGGAGAATACTGAGTCACAAGACCAACAGTTGAAGGTTCGTGAGATAAACGTGAGTCACCACATGTCTAGACACGACATCGAGGGGCAGCTTTGTTTGAAGAAACAAATGGAAATTTGCTTGGAATTCAGCTCTTTTAGTACAGTATTTACACCAAGCAGATTGGGTTGTCCTCGAGTCACGTCGCAAAGCCCCCTCAGCCCATGCCAGCCAGCCTTCTACTAGTAGTCATTTAATACATGGGCAAAACTGCCATGGTGTGTGTCGAATTTGTGATTCGTGATTCTAAGAGACGAGATAGGGAAGGGTAACGGGATATCGGGAAGGGATTTTAAGCCTTGGGAGGAGACTGGACCATGCCCTTGCCGGAGTAGCCCTCGGAGGAGAGACCAGTGAGGGGGTCGGAATTTTGTTTCTGTACGCGAGTGGAAGAGTTGGTTAGCCATCTGATGTATTTTTGTTTTCGACGTCGACGCTGACGTGTCCTCCATTCGAAGGACGGCAGTGAAAGATTGCCAGTGTTGTATGCTGCATACCTTGAGGAACTCGTTGGACGCCTCCTGGTACTCCTTGGTCATGGTGTCGGGAGCAGGGCCGGCGAACATGCGGACGGTGGAGAAGATGGCCAAGCTGGCGGCGACGGCGGCCATGACGCCCCAGAAGACGCGGCCGGTCTCGCCGGCGGGGGTACCGGAGCGGGGACCGTGAGGGCCAAAGGCAATCCAGTAGGCTGTTGAGACAATTTGCGTTAGTTTTTTTGTGAGGTTTCTCGATGTGACGCAATGCGTATGCACAGGGATGGGGGGGATGGATATGAGGTTCGGGCATCAGAAAAAGCCAATTGAGAGAGAGCATCGGGTGGCATATATAAGATGCCTCCTTCCTCTCGAGCAATTGATGTTGACGAGCTTCCCTCAATGGCTTTGTCTCCCTCCCCCCTTTCTCAATCCCCTTTCGGCCGACATCGAACCACGTTTCCTCTCTCTATCTCGACGGAATGTAATGGAAAATAGTCACGCACCGGCCTTCTTCTCCTGAAGGGTGAGCTCAGCCCAGGGGCCCTTCATGCGGTCTCTCAGGGCCATCCAGAGCTCGGCCTGCTCCTGGAGGGGCATGCCCTCCCATCTCTTCTCGATGTTGGCGAGCGTAGGGTTGGAGATGGCGTGGGTGGAAGCGGCGCGGCGGATGACGGCGGAGTGGGCGCGCAGGCCGGTACGGGCCAGGGAAACGGTCGGGCGCAACATTTTTGTGTCGGGGTTTATGTGTCGTCGGAAAAATCGCTAAAGGGAGAACGGTCGAGTTCGGAGGAGGAGCTCAATTGGAGCGATTGAGGTTCGTGGACGTCGCGGGTGGGGGGGTTTCTTGCGAGATTCGTGATGGGCGTCAAGGAGGAAGAAGAGGGTTTTTTTGGTCTACCTAGAAGTTCCGGGCAATCGTATGATTGGAATTTCGATTGCAATACGCCGGCTGCGACTGGGTGACTGAGAGATCACGTGATACCATTGTGGCCTGTGCGAGAGCCATCCTACCAATGGAATTGAGTGCTGGGCGCAGGGGGGGCGGGCCACGGGGGGTGTTGCCGGTTCCTTCACCTCGGTGTCTGGGCTGACGGGGAGCTTTACGGGTAGCTCTTCAGTGCACCAACGCGCTGTTTGTTGCTTTCACTGACAGGCTTGTAGCCCAGTGTTGCAGCAGCGCAGCTCCCACTGCAGGGCTCGGTTGTCGGCTCATTCCGAATACCGCCGTTTGACCGGGATCTCAATTGCTTCGTCTTGTGGTCGTTGATTGAAGGTGTAAATGTGCTCCGGGGACTGCTCAGTCACTTGAGCATCACTTGTGAGCCTCTTGGGTCCGTATTTCACTGGTTTGCGAGCTCAATTGGCTGCTGCATACGGACCGTTTAATTTGTACTTGATATTGACATCACGGCGCATCTCGGCCGAAGTCGGTGACTTTCCATCAGCCTTTGCGCAACCCAGATAATTCAGCCAATGAGCGAATTCTATACACATCTAGTTGCGCACTCTCTCCCCCTGGGGTGCTGTCTGATATTATGCTCTTGATATTGTACAATTGAATTAAACAGACACAGCTTGCGCTTATGTGCTGTCGGATTTCCTACAGCGACTCGATCATCCCGACTCGTATTGTTTCAAGTAGTTCTCTCTTTGGCATAGAGTTGACAAGCTATGCGGAACAGCCCATTCTTTGCCTGAACTTGGTTTTTCGTTGTGAATACCTCTCTTTGGGGGACTTATCATGGTCTCCGAGGTTTGTGATATGCCCCCTAATAGGCCTGGATATCTTCCGTCGCCAGAATTCAAATAGTTTCAGCTTCAAGCAGGCTGACAGCTCTTTGATAAAATGGTTGTTAAATCCATTGCTGCTCAGAACTTCATGACTTCGGCATTGAGTTCTCTGGACCTGTGCCGGCTTGGGGTTTTGTTTGGTTCGGAGTCTGTAAATCGGAGGTATTCGGTTCGCTCGACGAGACGGGCTTGGGTAGTTCGAACTGTTTTTGCTCCCGCAGTTTTGCTTGTCTTTCGAGCTCAGGCTTCAATGTGTAGTTAGCTGCTATAATCAGCGACTTTCGAGTTGGGCCAGGAGTATCTCCTCTGGTATCAAATGGCTGGGAGTGGTGCGTACTGATGGAGATGCCTGCTACTACAGCCACGACGATGGGTATAACGTTTCTGAAGCTCATCTTGGAGGTCTTGAATTGCTTGAGATAGTCGAGTTATGGAACGAATCTTTCAGGCACGATTATCATGCCACGATAGGGAGCTCAATCTTGCAATTGACAATAAGGTAGGCGGCGGCTGTGATGTAATCATCGATGATGCACCCGGGATAGCTCAGGTAGCGTGAACCCAGAGGTCGCGGTCGGTCACCCAAAATTCGGTACAGGCCGGGGCCTGTGCGCACACTCAATCGACTAAAGTGGTTTCCCGCCCCCGTGCCACCGCGTGCGACAGCGTGTACCCCACCAGACGCGCTCAGCGACCGCCTGAACGCGTCTGCTTCAACAATCGGATTATTTGCACCTCGCCTGGGTACGACTACCTTAGGTAATGAGAGCACTACCGCTTTCCGCATCAAACAAGACGAGCCGAAATTTTGGCCACCCAACCTTTCCTAGAAGCCCTTCACTGCTTCATACTTTACGATGTGTACTTCTTTATGATGAACGCTTTATGTCATGGCAAACTGGAAAGAACTGGGTGAGGTCCCAGACTCGGACGACGAACTCGACTTCGATAGCCAGGATCTTGAGTCGCTGCCGAACCCCGAACTACCTTCGAAACCCACCTCCGATACTTTACAAACGAAGGACGTCCGAAAGAGCATATGGGATGTTCCCGAATCGTCACAGGATACGCCAGCAGACGCGACTACAGATCGTGTAGCAACGGACCGCCACCATGAGGTGTTTAAGCCTATTGACGGAGAGCCGCCCTCTTCGCCGCTGTCTTCGGTGCCGGATGTGGATGAGCTGGACGACCCCTTCAACTTGGACTTAGACGAACCAGCAGCCCAAGTGGCACCTACGACAAAAACGAGGACTAGATATCTTCCCAACGACCGCGACGACTCTCCCGATCCCCTGGCTGGCGATGATACCGTTTCGACGAGCTATGTTAGAATCACTGCTCCTGAACCTGAGTTCCCCGCCGAGAACGATACCGAAAGCCTTCCACCTCCTAAAAAGTCTCTGGCGGCCTCTTCACAACCCAGTCAACAGAGCCGGCAGAGACGATTGGCTGCTCAGCTCTTTGCTAGTTCTAGCCCGGATGCAGAGGTGGCAGCTCCACTTCAGCAGTCTAACGATGGTAACACTTCGCCTCCGAGGCCTTTATCCGTCTCCTCGGCAGCCTCTTCTGTTGCTTCTCCGGCGCCGACCCAGTCGAGGAAGCAGCTGAGGCCGGCAGCTATTCAGCGGGTGGAAAGCTCCAACAGGGACGAGGAGGTTGCTCGACAAGTCGCTGTGCGGTATGAACGCTCGTTCAGACCAAGGAAACCCATCCAGGAACACCCATACCTCATTGAGAATGCCCAGTACAGCAAGGCTCTCAAGTCACACGGCATCCGGCCGATCAGAATGCCCACAGAGCCAGCCCCGAGACGTCAACGGCCGGAGGAGGATTCCCAGGAGAAGGATTTTGAGGATGATAGCCAAGAACCCACAGCTGATGCGCCAAACGGAACCACAGACGAGAGCCAGTTCAACGGCCTGGATATCCCGCTAAGCTCTAGTCCTCAGCTGATGTCGTCCCTCTCCGATTCACCCCTCCGAACATCGTCCCCCAAGCACCGCGGCGGACCGAGTAGCCAACCAAGTCAGGGAGATACGGATAATACCAGCTTCTCCGATGTCGACGATTTGCCATCCCTTGACAAGATTCACCGCGACTTGCTGGCAAACCGATCTGCCAAAAAGCGAAAGCGCGGGAAAGGCACTGCGACCAAGGCTGTGGTGACGCAGACGGCAGCCCCAAATGCGCCCTCGCGCCCGCAGTTTCAGCAGTATGATGAGATTTACGGCATGCTTTCTTCGCCGTCTTCATCGCCTGAAGTACAAACTACTGTGATCAACCATTTGATTGATCCTACATCATTGCCTACAGAGAGCAACGCCGGAACGGTATTTTCTGAGGGCGATGACCTGCCTATCGTGGATGGCAACATGTTGTCTGCTCCTGAGCTCCAGGGGCGAATTTCGGTCGAAAGGGAACCGCCAGTCTTCGACCTGACCGTGGCAGACATGTCCGATGTGGAAGAAGACAATGGATCCGGAGATGTTGATGCGCATAGCAGTTCAGGAGAGGAGTCGGAGGGTCGGGATGATGGTCGCGAGGAGGTCGGCGCGGCGATTGCAAAGAGAATGCGAGGTGTCCTTCCGGCATCCTGGCTTAGGCTCGACCAACAGGCAAACCGTCCCAAGCCTACTCAGTACCAACGCCCCGATGACTCCCCTGAGAAGGGTCCAAGACGAGGCGTGGCTGTCCGACGGATAGGTCGCTCGGCATCATCTACGGCAGCAGCGTTTCTCTTCGATGACTCAGACGACGATGTGGTCACTACGCAGACGCCTACACGTCCTTCTCACAATATCCAGACTGTGTTGCCTTTCGAGAGATCTGAGGTCACGGAAATCAGTGACGACGACGACGGTGGCTCCGTCGTTGAAGAAGACCAGGTTGACCATATGCTACCAAGCAGAAAACGTCAATTGACTTTGAAAGACTTTCGACAACCCGCCAAAAGGCAGAAAAAGAACGACCGTCCATCAAGCACCCAACCCAAGAAACGCGGGAGACCGCTGAAAAGCGCACTCCGAACTTCTGGAGCTTCCCGCCTCGATCCTTTCTCTAAAAGTCGCAAATCTACTTTGAGCAACACTCGAGCTGTGGCCCGAGCGAAATCTCCTCCAAGGTTGAGCATTCTGGATGTCATCGAACCAGATGCGCCGAAGTTTCTGAAGATTGCGGCTCGAGCAGCTCATAGCAAACGGCACATGGGACGATCCAGTCCTACACACAAGAGCATACGCCTAGCCACGCGGAAGGACAATGTAGATGCCGGCAGAGTGCTCCAACAGTGGAAAGGAGGCAAGATTCGACCTCGACCTGGATTGCAGACGAAGAAACCTAGGCCCACAGGGTCAAGTGGGCGACACCCACTGACTCAACTACCATCAAATGTCTTCTCTCGTGGTGCTGTATCCTCTCCAAAAGCCCGCAGCGCCACGCAGTCTGATGAACTCCGTCGTGAGACCTCAACGCCTTTGACGCCTTTGCCGGAGGCGCACTCTCGGATAAGGCAAATGTCGAGAAGTAATTCGGTCACAAGCCAGCAGACGCAAGATACCCGAAATAGGCCGGCTCAGCTTGAAACAGATTTGACCCAGCAACCGGGTAGAGTCGGTTTCCAAGCAAAGAAGCGAGCTCTCGATGCTCTTTTCAAGCGTAATCACTCGCAGTCGCTGTCATCGAGAAGTGCGCACTTGGATTCTTTCTTAGACGACACATCATCAGTAGTATCAGGGCACAGCCTTGCTGCTGGAGGCTCTCCTGAGCCTGCAGCAGTCAAGAGGCCAATACTGAAGCGCCCGAGAAAGCCTGTACAGCCAATCCAGATCGATGTAACGGCCGCCCATTTCCGCCACGCAGATGACCCCATGCCTACCATAGAGTTGATAACTCCCGTCGAAACGCCCAAAGCCGCGTTCAACGACAATCAGCTTCTTGGTCTTGGTCCTTTTGGCACACACTATACACAGCACTTTGATATTTTCCCCCTGGACCGCGGGGTCTTCTTTCACGAGACAACACTCATAGGCAGTGGACGGGTCAGCTCAATAGCGTATGACCAGTTTCCCGAGAAGGTGTGGAATTATCGACCCCGAATTTCTTACAGCCTTGGTGAAATGGTCCTTCGATGGGACTCATGGACCGAGCAAGTCTCGTCCGAGTTCGGCATCGTGATGGACGGGATCCTCGAGCAAATTCTCAGGCCATCGCTGTCTGCAGAAGTCACACCCAATGGCAAAGCAGCGGCAAGATTTGTTCTGGACTACGTCCAAAAAGCGATGAGCTTCACCAACGATGCCGATGCTGCCTCATTCATCGCTCGGGTGTCTGATGTGGTCAAGTCTTTCTTGACGCGCTTCGAATCTGAAGATGTCAGTGACTTGGCTCAACGTCGGGAACTGGCTGACGTGTTGTCGAATGTATTCCTCGTTGTCTCTTACGCCGTCCGCCTCTGTCAAAAAAGTCCGGCGCTGATGACAGAGAGCTTTGCTATGGAGGCGCTTCTCAGAAAAACTGCAGAAACACTGGTCCGATCGCTACTCGGTATTGGCCTGGATGACGTTACGCAACTCTACGATGATCTTCAGACCTTAAGATACCGCGAGCGTGGCATTCGCTCCGACAAGTTCGTAGCACACGCTTGGGTAGTTCTCATAAAGGCCCTAGAATATCTTCGGATTCCTAGGATGACATTCTGGGACGTTACATACTCGTGCATGATACAACCAAGTGTCATTCGTGGCATGGACTCCCAAGAGTTTGAGAATCTTTGGAAGAAGATGTTCACGCTCCTACCCTTGTGCGAATTTGACGACAATGGTGTGGTCGTTTCCGATAGGAGACACCTGGTTCCCCTGGAAGGGTGGAACTTGCCCCAGCAAGTCCTCAAACGCGTCTTCCAACTATACCGCGACAATCCCCGCCAGTCTCCAAGCTTCAACGACTACTGCCGGGCACTAGTGTCCAGATGCCACTATCTGGTCGATCAATGGGGTTGGCAGAAAAGCAGCGGTATCATCGGTACCATCTTCGACTTCTTTGGCTCGCAGAACTTATCTCATTTGCGCAACGAGGAAGCCTTCCGCTCAGCTCGTTTCCTAGACAGCCTTCATCTTGAACCGTCTCTCCATGTCGAGCCTGAGGATAGGTGTTTCCACATATTCCTCAAACTCGTGGCACTAGCCATCAAGAGGCTGAGACAGAATGGGGCAATCAACGACATCCGGAATTTGGTCGCTCGCACACTGCCAAACCACGACCGGCAATATTCTAAAGAACAAGACGTTCACCAGAATGACTTAGCCGCTCTCAGGAACCATCATGATCTCTTATGTACTCTGTTCTGGGCAGCGCCACCTGATCTTCGTCCCGGCATCCACAATCTGGAGAAATTGGTCATTCCCGCTAGCTCTCATAAGGAAGCCTGTCTTATTAACCTGCGGGCCTGGAATCAACTGGCAAGATTTGTTGTACACGAAGAGTCCGCCGCGTCATTCAACCCGCTGGCTAGCTGGCAGGCCAATGTCTTCAAGCAGCTGTTGGACCAGTACAACTCTGCCGCAGCAGATATCCAACAGCAGTTCTTAGCACTGTCTAAGGATGATAGCAATAATGTCAGCGAGGACCTGATGAACTCCATTGTGGCTACAAACAAAGCTGCAACCATGGAGATCATGCTGTTCTCAGTCAAGTCCTCAATGGAGGTTGTGCAGTATGCGAGTAGTTTGGAGTTGGCAAGGCTTGCCTCTAGCCCTTGTAAGATAACTTGCCAGACGTTCAGCGTACTTGAACTAACAACATTCGCAGATCAATTACAGCAAGTCTTCCAGCATTTCTCTACTTTGCCAGCAGACTTCCCGTCCACGCTTCTCCAAGCCTCTATGACCACGCTGGAACGTCTTCTTGGTCGAATCGAGTCGGTCTTCAACGAAGCAGATGATAGTCAAGACAGTATGGCCTCTCGGACTTTGGAGTCCGAGGATGCCATTCTGGTAAGTCATGCTCATACTATTTCTTCGTTTACGTGTCTGACACCTTTCTAGATGCTGGACCGCGAATTGGCTGCTGCGTTCCTCTCAGCAGCACGCTGCCTCTTGTCAAATCAATCGCTCGGTAAACCTGGCAATTCAAGCGTGTCAACATCCTGTGTTGAGCAATCCGTCGTGGTATCTGGCATGATGATTGGTCTTTTCGTACGCTGCGGAATGATGGTGAGTTGGTCTGAGTTGATTCCAAGAGCCAATCGATCGCTTACTATTCCTAGGCACTCTCGCAGGTTTTTAAACCTACTAAATATGGGCTATTCGGGAAAGCGCCAAGCAAGCTTGACTGCGAACAACGTCAATACCTTCCACTCTTCCTTTCCGTTGTCGCGCAGAAGGGAGCAACCATTAACCTGGAGGTAAGAAACGCGACTGGCGCGTGATCCATGAATACAACTAACATGACACAGGATATTGGAGGAAGCCTTTTGCTGTTGTGGCTCATGGTCATCATACAGCCGAGTCACTGCTTGAGATTTGAGAACCAGTTTGGACAGCAGCTCCAGCGGCAGGGCTATCCTTTCATTCCGGACAAAGCAGGTCTTGTCGTCAACCCAGGCTACGCGGCCAACCGTGACTTTTTTGAGTGTGAGTATTTGCGCAAGTTGACTTCGTGGCACGGATGACTGACTATGCTCAGACGCGGCATCTTGGATGCGGAAATCTTTACACACAGCCGACACTGCCTCCAAGAAGAACATGCGGTCGGAGTTCGAGAGAGTGCTTAATGCCGTCATGAACCAAATGCGGGCTGACCTTCAAATCATGACCGCAGACGAATTACAACACCCAAGCTATGTCAAGTTCGTCCGCAACATCATTTCCCTCATCAAGGCTCATGGTTCAGACATCTGTCCCGTACAAAAGTTCTTCTTGGAAGTGAGCAAGGAGTATTCGCCACCGATGCAGGACCCGCAATTACAAGCAGCGTTGATCCAGTCATACGGATTCAAGCTTGCGGAAGGCGACCCCAGAGTCCCTAGTACATTATTCCACTTCTTGCTCAATAACTTCAAGGGGGCTCTTCAGCGTGGCCGACTGCCGCATGAGGTTGTCCTCCTAAAAGGGGCTTTGGAAAATGATGCCATCATGTCGTTCGTTCTCAGCAAGATGCTTCCCGCGGTGCTGCATGCCACCCTATCTAATGTCGAGGCCTACGCGATGCTCGATGTTTTATGCGACGCGCTTGGACTGGCAATAAAATCGTCACCTATTCCTCGTCAAGTCAGCGAAGACAATATGGGGTGCATTGCTGCCTTGGTCACCACCACATTGGCTTGGGCAAACGCCCTAGGACGGAGCATGCTTAGTCCTGAGCATGTTCATGTGCTCCGACGCATCACTTGGCTCCTCAACGCATTTCAGCCTTCCCTTGAAGCGTTCTCATTCATGGTTACAGAACCTCGAGGCTGGGACAACGTTATGTCGATGTTACATTGGTTCAGCCTGCTCGCCCAAGGGGCGCAAGAGTATCTTGAAAACCAAGAAACCCCTTTCATAGCCGCATCGGGGCTGTTTCGCCGACTCAGAACTCTCAATGAGATCTTCACGATCCAGGACACCACGGTTCTGACCTGGTCAGAGCATATAGGAAACGACATCAGTAGGAATTGGGTCACGACAGGACCATTGTTAACGGTATCACCACACAACCGTGGCACACCTTCAACGCAGTCTGGGATTGGATCACTACGGCCTAAGTGGGACATGCAAGAATTGACGACGAGTCTGCTAGATCAAATGCGGAACTGGCATGAGTGGTGGACGAGGGTGAAGGAGTTGCCAGCTGATACTGAGGAAGTAGATTTCGGGGAGGACGTCATATTCTGAGAAAGGTATCTGTCGTAGAGCAGTGTCCAATCCTTACCCCCAGAAACAAGTACATACCATTATGCCCACAACTATCTACCAAGGATTCAAAAATAATCTTCATCGCCGTATCTTTAATTTCATTGAATTACCTACGCTGAGTCATCTACGGCTGGGTCCAGGATCCATCGTGAATGATCTTATTACGATTTACATACTTCGGTGTGGGACTTTCGGTGAGCGTCGGTGAAGACTCTGCCGAGATTCCGCCGTTCTCACTAAGCATGGTACCGGCTTCAACAGCTCGAAAGCAAACAAGGTCTCTTTTGCCACGCAACGACACCGCCAATTGCTGGCATTTTGCTCATTGTCCTTCCGAATGTATGCAATAGGGCCTCGGGCCCTTGCATCAGCCTCAAGAGTCTCCGTTACATCGAGGTTAGCGCTTTCGGTCGCTCATCGCAGCCAGTGTCGACATTTCCACCCGTCCTTTAGGTTGCGGAAGAGCCCGTCCGAAGGCGGCGCAGAAGACGGCAAACCACCAGACAAACCGGCCGGCGAGCAAGAGGACGGCAGTAGAAGCAAAGATGGCAGCATAAGCAAGACTGAGTCGGTCACGGCGGAGTCGGCTTTTCGGAGGTCGAGAGGCGGCGCGTTCGCCTCTGCGAGAGCGCGCCTCTCAAGGCCGCGGGCCGCTGACGAGCTGCCACCGGTGAAGCTGCCGCAGAGCTTCCTCGACAACAGCGTATCGCTGTACGATCCCGAAAACCGCATCAACACCCTCACGAACGACCTGTGGCACCATCGATACATGGGCGCCCGCTGGCACGATCTGCTCTGGAAAGATTTGGATCTCGTCTTCAGCCATGCGTCTTGGAGCGAAGCGAAGTTGCAAGATGCGCTGCGCCGGGGCAATCTCGAAGCCATTGAGAGGAGGAGCCGCCTCCTTGCTGAGGCATCGCAGTGGCTGAGTCTCTCCATTGACGAGATGCGATCTTCGAACAACCTGCAGAACTCCCGCGAGCCGCTGCCGACCACCGAATTCGCAGACATGCTTCGATACTCCAACAAATTCGTCCTTTCAAACCTTTTGTCGCAACACACCAGAGCAACGACGGACGCCGATCCAACACAAGATCCAGACAGCGTACTGCAATCGCTTGTCGAGCAATACATCGAAGAGGGACGGCCGAAGCTGCGACGTGACGGACTGAGGTTATTCGACCCCCGAATCCGCGGCGAAGTCGTCACGGCTGTGTGCGCGGAGCTTTCTCTGCAGCCGGACGCAAGTGCCGCAGGCAGGGAGCTCAAGAGACCGCTTACTGTCGTCAACATTCCGAACTACACCGGCCGAAGCCATACCAAGAAGCTCATGAAGCACGTTGCGTCATGCGCGGAAGCCGATTTGATTCACCTCGATGCGCAGGAGCTGGCGATGCTTGTCGGCGACTACATCGGGCAGGACTGTGCCTACTCGCGCGGCTCGATCTCTATGCTGGGATATCGGTCTGCCGAGATGAATGGACGTCTCGTCAAGAGCGAGGAGCCGTCCAAGCCCAACGACGAGGATCTTTCCGGCGAGATCGAAGCGGCATGGGTCAACCTTCGAGATCACGGGGTGGATGGCGGCTACGGCAACCCAATGGACAACGAACTGCAAAAGATCAAAGAAGGCCCCAAGGACTACATCCTTCCTTCTGTCGATCGATGGGAAAACCTGAAGATCAACGCCGTTCTCGAGGAGATTGCCAACTCGGCTACGAAGATGACGTCGAAGCCGGATCGCAACCTGATCATTCACGTGGACGACTTCGTCGAGCTCAACATGACGCTCGAGGGTGCGCTGCTCATCGGTCGACTTCGGACCATCGTAGACACCATGTGGCGCGCTGGAAAGAGAGTGACCCTGGTGGGCACCTCATCCAACGAGAACCCTTCGGAGCAGTACGCATCGACGCTCAAGGAGATTGCGGCAGAGGAGTGTTTGATCCCTTTGCCCCTGAACTTCCAGCGGATCACCGACGCTGCAAACACCAAGAAGATTTACGAGGCCAATGACTTCTTGCAAGAGAACCTGCGAAACATCCAGCATATGCTGAAGAGCATTTCTGGCCAAACGCGAGACACGAGTAAACTGCGCATCGTCGGCGTGTCAAAGTCCTCGCCGCCGCAGTTCCTCTTGGATGACACACACGGCTCTTATATGGAGGTCTCGCTCATCCCCCGCGTTCTGGCAACCTCCATCCTCCCCCTTTCCGACGTATACCACATAACCCGCCTCTTCTACGCCTGCGAGGGCACCGTCCGCCCCGACGAGTCATGGAGGGTTCTCTTCGACGTCGTCGAGTCCAGCAGCTACAGCACCGCGCAGCTGCACCGCACCCAGGACCGGCCGACGCGCTCCAAACCCTCCTCTGCCGGCGCGAGCTCGTCTGCCGACATGCAGAAGCCCGAACCCGAACGCCTCCGCGTGTCCGGCAACTACAACGACTACGAGAAGAAGCTCCTCAGCGGTCTCGTCAACAGCAGCGAGATCAAGACGACGTTTGCCGACGTCCACGCCGACGCGGAGACCAAGAACAACCTCAAGCTCCTGACCTCGCTGTCGCTCGTCCGCCCTGAAGCCTTCACATACGGCGTCCTCGCCACCGACAGGATACCGGGCTGCCTCCTCTACGGCCCGCCCGGCACCGGCAAGACGCTGCTAGCCAAGGCCGTTGCCAAGGAGAGCGGCGCCAACATGCTCGAGGTCAGCGGCGCCAGCATCAACGACATGTACGTCGGCCAGAGCGAGAAGAACGTGCGCGCCCTCTTCTCGCTCGCCAAGAAGCTGAGCCCGCTCGTCATCTTCATCGACGAGGCCGACGCCCTACTCGCCGCCCGCGGGCAGCGGAACCGCGCCGCGCACCGCGAGACCATCAACCAGTTCCTGCGCGAGTGGGACGGCATGAGCGACACCAAAGCCTTCATCATGGTCGCCACCAACCGGCCCTTCGACCTCGACGACGCCGTGCTCCGCCGGCTGCCGCGCAAGATCCTCGTCGACCTGCCCCTCAAGGCCGACCGCGCCTCTATCCTCCGCATCCTCCTCAAGGGCGAGACGCTCGACGCCTCGGTCGATGTCGACGACGTCGCGCGGAAGACGGTGCTCTACTCCGGCTCCGACCTCAAGAACCTCTGCGTCGCGGCCGCCATGACGGCCGTCCAGGAGGAGAGCGAGGTGGCGGCGCGGCACACCGGCCCGGAACCCTACGTGTTCCCTCCCAAACGCACGCTTGCGAAACATCATTTTGATAAAGCGCTCAAAATGATCGCCGCCAGCGTCAGCGAGGACATGGACAGCTTGAAGAGCATCCGTCGCTTCGACGAGAAGTACGGCGATGTCCGGGCCAAGAATAGCCAGAAGAGGAAGGGTATGGGCTTCGGTGTGCTGCCGACATCGACGGATGCTGAGGAGGCCAGGGTGCGGCAGGCTGTTGCTTGAAGAACGCTGGGTTCGGGTTTTGACTGTTATTCTCTGTTCGTCTTCTTTGTAATGTCATTCTGGCTTCGCTGAAGGCAAATCTCCCACCCTTGACTTGGAACCATCATCAGAGAAATGGATGGGACGGGGGTGGTCTTTCAGGCGAATTTGTACGATTTTTGTTGTGTGGTGGGAAAGAGTTTCCTTTGAGGACATCCCCATCGTGGGCTATAGAAAGGGGGGAAAGGAAGTGAGTGGTGAATTATGTATTATCATTGAGAGGACACACGCCATCTACGATCAGGTAGTCAGGTAGCATCCCAAAGACTTGCCGAGTAAAAAATAAGGGACTAGCGAGAGATGGGCTATGAATTACCACCCTCATGAGATGGGGTTTTGATAAAAGAAATTAGCTGAGTTGGCCCTTCTTCGCGATTTACGAGACAGCATAAGGTGTGATTCGACACGACTTTTGTGCCCAATGAACATTTAGTAAGAAGCGTGTATGGCTCGGTGTGGTTTGCTTATTCCTGAATAAAGCTCCTGATGGTTTCGCATTTTGATGTCTCTTATACAACCCGACCCCGATTCTCTCTCCGTCCCAGACTTTTCTCACCTCAAGTGCAATCTTCAGGCCTCGGTGGAAAGCTGAACCCCCTCAGCAGCAAGAGCCCGCTGATAATCCCCCTGCGCCCTCTTCAGCGCCTCGAGCGTCGGCTGCATAATCGCCAGCACGGCCTTCCTGCCACCCTTTTCATGCTCAGGCCGCCACCCGCGAATCTTCTTCCCCGTCGCCTTGTAGTGATCCATAATCTCCTTCTTCTTGGCCCGGATGATGTCGTCGCGCGTCTTCTCCGCCTCATCGGCGACGGCGTGGATACGCTCGGCCGAGCGCTTGAGGGACTCGACGAGGTACTGCAGCTCGTTGGCGCGGTCCGGGTCGCCCGACAGAAACGCGTTCCAGAACTGGTGCAGGAACTCGACCGTCGTGGCGTGCGTCAGCTGGCACCGCTCCGCGACCTCGACGGGCAGGCCCATGGGGCGGGACTCGTCCGCCGCCGTGTCGCCGTACTTTTGCGCGCGGCGCTGCCGGATGCCCTTCATGATGTCGTCGCCCGCGGCTTTGCGCGCGGCGCGGGAGCCGACGTGGGGCGGGCGCCGCGTTCCTCCGTCGTCGCTGTCGCTGTCGTCGACGATGCCGATGCCCGCGCGGAGGTTGAGGCCGCCCGCGCCGTCCGTCTCAATGGTCTCGAGGTCGGTCTGGATGTCAAATAGGACGTCCGAGGGGTTCTGCTTGGCGAAAGCGAGGGCGTTTGCGGATTTGGCCTCGTCTTTTTTCGCAAAGAAGCGGTTCTGCTCCTTGATGTTGAGTATGATTTTGTTCTCCTTTGCGTCGCCGCGCAGGTCGCGGAGGGCAATCTCCGCCCACGTCGAGTCTTCTTCGGCCTCGGCGCCGGTATCGCGGTCCGAGGGGGCCACGTTGGCGAGCATACGCTCGCTGAGACTGTTGAGGGTATTTACAATAGGCACGTTTTTGCGCGGGCGCATCTCGACATCCTTTTGGTTTCCGCTCCGGAAGCCGCCCTGGTTCTCCTCGTTGCCGTGGACGTCAATGATGTGCGGCACGCTCTGCGCCATGCTCTTGCGCTGGAACATTGTCGTGTTCTCGCTGGCATCATGGGCGTCAAACAGCGCGTCGCGCTTGATGCCCTCCTTTCTCTCGTCCGTGATTCTATCTCCCTTCAGCGTGCGGAAGAGCTTGCTGAGGAAGAAGCGGGACCAGAACTCGCTCTCGGGGACCTTGGGCACATTTTCGTCGTAGAGCCGCTTGACGAGCGGGTGCTGCGCCATGATGAGCTGGACCATCTCGACGGTGATGTCGAGCTTGAGCACGTCGTTCTCCAGCCGCGGCTTTATCGCGGGGAGGACATTGTACGCGCCCTTTTGCTGGTTCACCTCGATGGCGTGGGCACGCAGCAAGTTTGTGCGCGTCGACCAGAACTGGGCGTTAAAGGCCGCGTCCGATATCGATTCGGGCTTGGTCGCGCGCGCGTCCATGTACGTCTGGTGTAGAGTGCGGTCCTTCTTCATAAGGGACTGCTGCAGCTCAATGTCACCCTTGAGCTGGGCGTCGTCGAACCAGCGAGCGCTGTTGGGCTTCGCGTTGGCGGAGCTGGCGAACGCCATGGACGAGCCGCCGCCAGCGCCGCCGCCACCACCGCTGGCACCATTTGCGCCGTTGGCCGCGTTCGGGGTTGAGTTGCCGGAGGGCTTGGGGACATTGGGATCGCCGGAGCGGATATCGGCCAACAGCCTCGAGAGCAGGTCCTTGATGGCGTTGGCCTCAGACCTGGCTTCTGGTGATGTGAAGTGGAAGAGGTAGGGCACTTGTTCTGTTGCATCTGGAGGCTTCTCAAAGATTTTGAGCATAACCTTTGCTGCGCTGTCTGGTGTCTGTTGCAAATCTGTGGCCCAAGTCAGTCATGCATAGTACTGTCTCGTGTGACGGAAGCTCACTTGAGATATTAGCAATGACCAGGGAGACCGTAGGCGGGCCATTCCCAGGTGCTGGAGTCCAGATGACGGACTGTTGATCCGGCGTCAAGGTCAAGACACCATCCTTCTTCTTGAAGGCCGTACGACCTGACGGTATCGCCATCTTCAGTTTTATATACTGTGCTTAGAAGCTGCTGCGAAGCATAACGTTGAGACCTTCACTTCGTCACCACCCTGCCAAGCCACCTCAATGTGAACTGCCTCCTTGCCTGGGTCTTTGCAGGGATGAGACCCGATACGTCAGGGGCGGCCCACCAGCCAGATCGACAGTAGATAGTCGCGTACGATTCAATAATTCTGCAACGGTAAGAATTTATCGCTCCAATGCGGAATTAATGTGGTCGTGTGGAATGAGAATTGTTCAATGTCTTTCACCTGGGGTTGAAGGCTCGAGGTTCGAAGCTCCAGCCACAAGAGCGTATGCTGCCTGAAGTGGCTGTCGGTCGCCAGCTGGCGCTGTCTTGCCAGTTCCTAACGGGCCGGCAGGTGTCATACGTTCGACCTCACCAGACGACAAGCCAGTCACGTCCTTTTGGCTTTAACCACAGTCACTCCAGGTACACGTTAACTGGCACTGCATCGTCGACAGGTTACACAAGAGAGCCATGTTTTACAACGATCGTGGTGATTTACTATCCAGCCTACCTGGCATACTTACCTGCCAGGCTTTTCCTTATGCGAGCCAAGAACCAGTCCTGGAAGATCCATGCTATCCTCAAAACGCCAAAATCTCAGAAAGCCAGAGTTTGTTCCCCATGTCTATGGATGCGTGTCCCCGTATCTCGTCCAAGTCTCATAAAATGTCGTGAACCTTTCGACAATACATTCCGAAGGGCAGAAAAGTTGTTACGCAAGAGGCCCGCGAGGCTTAGATGTGGTGTCTAGCGCGGAGGGAGCGGCGACCGTGGGCTCTCTTCTTCTGCCAGACCAGGACCTCGGTTGTGCCAGACTGGCATTTGGTGCCAGGAGCCATACTCATGAGCACCGACCACTGTCCAGAGGCACAACGCTGGAAATGAGTGCCGGAGACGCAGTTCCACTGGCCCTCGGGGGTGCAGGCCTTGCCGGGAGTCATGGAGCCGTCTGCTGCATCACCAGATCCGGCGCCAGGCGAGGGAGCTGCGGATGGAGCTGCGGATGGAGCGGCAGAGGGGGCAGCCGATGGGGCGGCTGAGGGAACGACTGCCGAAGTGGGAGCAGGCACGGCGGTAGGTGCCGCAGATCCTTCGGTGCACTCTTCGCTGGGTGAAGCGGGAATGCTGACGGTCGCAAGTGTGGTCGGTCGGGCAGAGGCAACGGCAGAGTTGCTAGAGGCCGGAACAGTGAGGAAGACACCGCCAGGGCTAATGGGAGTCAGTACAATTACAGTGACATGGGTGAGATTTACTTACAGTCCAGCAGATGAAGAGGCACCCCCGGCAGCGCGAGTAGTCGACTGGGAGCTCGGCTGAGAGACTTGAGAAGCGGCCGGAGCGGACGGGGCAGGAGCGACAGCGTTGGCAGAGCTGCTAGGAGAGCTGCTGCTACCACCTCCAGAGCTACCACCACCGACTGCGACGTCGCAGGTGCCGACGGGGGCAGCGGTCTTGGTGCCGGCGTTGGTGACGTCTCCAGGAGGGCCGGGATTGGGGAACAGAACGTCGGATCCCTCGACGGTGCTGCAGCCGTTGGCGATGTTGGCCTTGAAGATCTGAGGACGGCTGGCGAAGGGAGTGGAAGCACTGCCACCTCCGCCAGTGGTGGTGATGACGGCGCAGTTCATGTAGCTGTGGAAGGGGAATTAGCATGGCCACGGTGAGAATCAGAAGGTCAAGATGGACATACAACTCTCGGTTGCCGACGTTGTTGAACCAAGTCCAGGCGAACAGGGCGTCCTTGGCAGAAGGGGTGTCGGCAGGCAAGGTGAAGGTGAGAGACGAAGTGCCTGCGACAGGGCAGTTACCGATGTAGCTGTGGATGACGGTGAAGGTCTTGCCGCTATCGAAGGAGAGGGAAGCCTGGCAACTACCGCCGTTGTGGTTGGCACCGCCGGCGATGGTCATGTTGTACTGCTGGCCGGCCTGCCAAGTAGCAACGGGAGAGGCCGCAGCGGTGCCGAGAAGGTTCAAGGTGCCCTTGCAGGGAAAGTCGCTGCCAGAAGCGCTCAGAGGGCTGGTGATACTGTAGTCGATGTCCTGACCGGCGAAGGGGTTCTCCTTGGATCGCAGGGGCGGCGGGTAGGTGATGGCCATATGAGCCGCGGCGTGGCCGGCAAGCAGCACGATCGCGGAGACGAAGGTGGACTTCATGGTGTCGTCTGGTGTTGGAAGAGATTCGGTCTAGGATGATGGTGGTTTCGAGAGGATGAGAAGGTCTTTTTTTTAGGTGAGCTTCGCTTCCAGATGTTGTTAACAAAAGCTTGGTTGTGTTGACTGGAAGAAGGATGGATGGGATTTTCTGTAGGTTCAAAGAGTGGATTTGCTCCTCGTTTTGAAATGTGTGTTGGTCTGGTGATTTCTTAGGTCGGGATGGCTGAAGAGTTGTTGTAGGTGAAAGTAGGTGAGGTGAGTCGGTCAAATCAAGGTGAGTGAGACGGGGTGTCTTCACTTGTCTTTATCTGAATGTGGTCTTGAGAATCGAGCCGGCTCGAGGAAAGAGAAGAAGAAAAAAGTCGGGTGACTTTTACAATGGAGAAAGGCGGTCGAAGGAATGTGTTCAAACGTCCAAACAATGAGGCTGGTCGGGAGTTGAATAATACCGGCGAATACGTGACCGTTGAAGATTTAGAAGTGGCAGGAAAGGAAGGAACGGCAATGAGGCTACGAGTTCTCCACGTGTAAATGGGGACGAAAGTAGGCCAAGTTGGGCTGAGTCTTGTAGCAGTCAAGAGCGTGGATGACGCAACAACGCTGGACGAGGTTGAGCAACAGAAAAGAGAAATTTGTAGAGATAGGCGTGAGAAAGGGGAAAAAAGAAGGTTCCCAAGAACTCGGATCGAGCTGCTACGAATGAAGTCAGGTGAAGATGAAATAAGAGGGCTGAAGAAAGGCGGGAGGCCGTCACGGGCTCTTTATTGTCGAACAAACCACACCACTCCGCCGGCGCATCAGTATCTTGGCAAAGGAAAGGGTGCGAACAAGAGGGGGAGAGCCGCTTCGCTTCCAATGCTTGCCAGGGTCGAAAGGCCTGCTCTCTCACTCTCTGACTTCTCGTCCAGTTGCAGTCCAGAACCTGGATCCTGATCCATGAAAGTGAGGTAGCCATGCGGCCTGGCTAGCGGTCGCGGGGTGTGCCTCTCTCGCGCCGCAAGTCAACCCCTGCCCTGGGCGCATGCACCCTTCTTTTCTTCATCGTCATCCAGCAGGTCTACATCGAGATACCTCGGATGCCCATGTTGGATGCCTCCAACCAACGAGTATAGCTACTTAGGAAGTGTTGGATATGCCAACCTGCAACTCGGATACTAGTGGAAAGCAGAAACCGAAGGGGAACCCTTGAGATATCCCTTCAACGTAGTGTAGGTCCAGCATGGACGGCGTGTGGTTGATATCCTCCCTTTTCGTCTCCCTCTGGATTCTTCCTCGCAATGGCCCAAGGTCCTGGCGCAACTCTCGGCTCCTCCGTCCGTCCCCTTCCTTCCTGTCCAACAACGGCTCCATCCTGAAGAAAAACTCGATAAAGAAGAAATCCCCGAGTTGCGCGCCCCAAAGGAGCAGCAGCAGGATTCCTGTCCTGTGCCCCTTGCACCCTTGCTCAACCCGCCTGCTGCCGCCTTGCGGGTCCCTCACGAACCCCCCCGGTCTGGTCTCGCGGAAAGCGTTACAACTTCAGAGTCACTCCCTCCCATTTGGCCGAACAGATCGAGGCATGGCAAGGGTAGGGTACCAAGTCACACCGCACCTCATCGCATGTTCTCGGTGCGATGCGGGTATGTCGGCGAAGGGTACCTGTAAGTTGGCCCTCCTCCTCACCGCGGAGCCACTCTTGAGCGACAAGAAGCGCGTTTATCTTGTCTCTGATGCGCGGATGAAGTGGCCGAAACTGTGGAGAGAGAGAGTGAGTGAGAGAGGTGTGTGGGACGTGGTCCAAAAAAGGTGGGATGAACAGACCCTGGACCGTCCAAAAAGAGACAAAGTGCTGATCCAGGCATGTCATTGGCCCAGGGACGGATGCGCGAATGGCAGGCCACAGCGGTAGCTGTAGCTGCGCGGTAAAGATGTGAAGCGCAAGGGCCGCAAATCGAACCTTGGCTGAGCCGCTGTGCCTCTGAGCTGCTTCCATGTTCGCGAAGTACCTACCATCATACTAGGTACCATGCCAGCATATTTGAACCTGGAGGGGAAAGCCATCCAGACCGCGTCCAATCAACCATCCTGCGTGCCTAACTGCCGCTTCAGTGCTCGGCTCACTGATTGGCGTTGTCCGTTTACAATATTTACAATCACCTACCTAGGTAGGCGGGCTACCGCCTTGCCAGCTTGCCTTGCCTTCCAGCTCAAGGACAAACACTACAAGACAAGATACATCCCAAGGTGAGCCATGAGAGAATAGGAACAAGACGTCTTTCGGCAACTTGAGCCCGAGATAATCAACGCAGCTGGGTAGTTCTTATGGTCCTTCAATGTCGAACCGCGCAAAAGTGCCCCAGTTACAGTCGTAACCTCACCTTCGCCGGTGTCCGGTGATATCTGTGGAGCGCAAAAACCGCCCACGGAAAGCAAAGTCGTCGATCCCCAAAGAAAGGCCCAGGCCGCCCAGGTCCACACGGCTTCATTCCAGCCAGTGTTCGGTGATGCGCGGTGTGCCTCCCGTGCCTCCCCCGCCCTCAGCGCCTCCTCAGCCATCCCCGGGAACCGACTGTGACGTGACTTGGCAGACTTGGAGAAGAAGAAAAAGTAGAAACTTTTCAAACGTCCAAACTACCCCATGCTCGATCGGGCAAAGGCCCAAAAGGAGGGTGAACAAAAGAAGAAAGCAGGGGGTTCTCGAAACATGCGACACGCGCCGTCAAATGGCATGCATCCTACAACCGCCACGAATGAGAATGGAATGTTTCCTGCCATTCCCTGAGGTACCTTAGGTACCTCAATCCTCATACAGCCGCCAGTCGAAAATGCATACCTCCCGCACATGCTAAGTTCTAACAATGGATCCTGCACTGCATCAAGAGGCGCCGTAGGTTGTCACCCTTTCTAAAAATCTCCCCACGATGATACCTCAAGCTCTTTAATTATCCACCCTCAACCTCACGACTATATTCAATCCCCCCATCATCAATAAAACAACCCAGCCAAGTATGACCAGACCCTTCTCACGTCATGTCATTCTCCATCTCTCCCCGTTCTGTCCAGAAATAATAGTCTATCAAAATCTGGGAACAAACGTGAACTGCTAGCCCTGTTACCCATGATCAAGGTTTCATCCCGACCTCACATAATCATGTTCCAATTCCACAACTGCTCTTCTTACCTGCTAAAGTAGTTGTGTCATGGTGCCGAATATGCCGTCCCCGAGATATTCCAACAAGACTAGGGTTTTCTGGTCTTCTTCTCCCTTTTCTCATGGCCACTCGTGCATCTCTGCTTTGTTTGTCCTTGATCCAAAAGCATTACACAACACTGCAAAGACGGGCATGATTGACTGCCAGAGAAACCCCCAGAACTCATCTTGTCCAATCGGGTGCAATTCACTTTGACCTTTTGAAGTAATATTTTGTCATTTGGAGCCACCTATTGATAGATGGCTTTTTGGCCTACACTGTTCAACTCCTATGCTTTTCTTTCTCGTCACTAGCTCTACCTAGCTACCGCGACACACCCGGCCTTCACATGTGCGTTTGGATCATGACTGACGTCCTCACATCCCCCTTGATCCTCTGCCGTGATCCGCTTGTGAGGCATGACAGTCCCGCTCCTTCAGGCATCATCGCAGTAGACCCCTGCGTCATCTGAACCCTTTGGACTGTCTTCTCCAACCACAAGCTGACCTATACGTGACTTTCCAGTCCAGCAAACGCACTACATACAGCAAGTCCGACCCTGTCCTCCAGCTCGGTGACTGACTTCCCCCGAATGCTAGCCCCCTCGGAGATATCTCCCCGACAGCCGCTCCAGAGGTTTCCATGGACTGCTTTATGTATTTGCTGGCACATCCAAGTTGGCAGCATCCATCCCAAGCTTCGCGGATCAAGTGGTTATTCACCAACGCTAAAGGGGCCTAGATACTGAGATGTGTTGGAATAATTCTCCATGGCGTTATCGGTATGCCTCGGTGGTATCGTCGAGCTCTCATTTGGCTTCTTCGGTAGCTCCAGGAGCGTGTCCAGGACCGTTCGCAGGTGCTGAGGGAACCTGTTGAGGACCCTGGTGCTGCCCATGGTTGTTGTACGGCTTGCCTCCATAATTGTTGCTTCCACTGCGGTGCTGCGCACCGTATTGATGCATCTGAGAGGGACTCGTTCCAAAGTGTTGAGGTCCGGGACTATTGTACCCACGCACATTGCCAACTAAGCCGACGTGTTAGCAGTTTATTGATAGCGACCGCCGGGTACCATCTTACCCTGACCGCCGGGTTGCTGCGGAGTGTACGCAGGCTGCTGGTACTGCACGTTGGGGCTCATGCCATATACCGGTTGACCTTGCTGCGAGCCTTGATGAACCATCATCGGCGCTGACGGGCGTCCTGGGCTAGGATAGCCGTTGGCTCCCGGAATCGGCTGGGGCGGCGCGCCATTCGGAGGCATGAACTGGTGGTTGCCAGCATACATTGGCATTTGGCCGGGTGCCGGCACCATGCCCTGGGGGTTGATAAATTGAGGCATCATAGGTGCTCCCATGGGACCACCAGGCTGCTGCGGCACGTATTGATGGTTTTGGGAGAAGTTCCGGTAACCACCCATCTGAGGTGTAGCCGGTCCACCGTAGGGCTGCATCATAGGCTGGTTGTAGGGCACCTGACCCGCCGAGGTCATCGCTGGCGTGTTGTAAGTGATGGGGACCTGTGCCATACGCGGCGAAGCGAAGGACTGGGCCGAGTTGGAGTGCATCATCCGATGGTCATCCATATTCTGGTACGGTGTATGGGGTACATGTCCATGTTGATTTTGTATAGGCATGGGTGGCATGTGTGGTGACTGACGCGGGCCCATACCGTGCGCAGGTTGCTGCAGATGAAAGGGAAGTTGATGCTGGTGAGCCACGCTGGGCACAACGTGAGTGTGGTTCGGTGTGGCAATTGACGACACAGCAAATGACTGCCGCTCCAAAAACTCCTTGGAAGTCATGAGCATCGTGGAATCCGACTTCTCGTTGTCCGAAGGTTGTCTCCAGGTAGGCGGGGTGTCGTATGAGGGTCTCAGACCGTCGTTGTCGTCCCAGTTCCGACCCTGAGGCGGCGTGAATGTCTTGACGTGTGCCAAGATGTAACACTTCTTCACATCAACTGCCTTCGTCTTCCGACGAATCAACTGTCCAGCTGATGCCGGGGTCGAAGCTGTCTCTGGGGCGTTGTTGGCAGCAGCAGAGCGAGGACTGGAACCCGCGCTGGGGTGTCCGTTCGGGTTGAAGGACGTCGCAAAGGGGTTCGGTCTGAACTCATGGCTGTTGGGGTTTAACTTCCCGCCAAGGTGACTCGGGACACCGCCTGCACGCCGGAAAGCCTCAGTGTTGTTCGCTGGGCCGGTTGGCGGCATCCGCATGTCAGGGCCACCAGGATGCTGGTTGGGAGGCGCCGACATCTTCTGCTGCTCCACGTGACGCAGGCGCTGAGCCAAGGGCTGGCGGTTCTGTTGCGCCATGTGTTGGCCAGATCTATCGTTCCTGTACGTTTGGGCGTGATACTGGGGGCTGGCGTAAGACTGGCGAGCGTTGGGATGACGGTTCGGCACATTGGAGGGAGAAATAGTATTAGCTGGCGCCGGACGAGTAGCATTCCTTGTCTCAACGGCGGCTTGAGCAGCCGGGGCATCAGCAGGTGGCTTTGCTGCACCCTCCTTTGATGAAGCGTCCTTGCCCTTCAGAGTAGGTGTCGTCTTGGTACGAGCAACATCTTCCGCGTTCTGGAGAGCCTTTGCCTGGATTTCCTTCTGTTTATCGGGGTCCTTGGCGATAATGGAAATCAGGTCAGTAGGAACTGGAGTCGACAGCTTGAAGGTATCGGCGAATTTCTTCAGTTCAGTCAACTTGACTTCCTTGTCGGCCTTAGCCTTGCTGCTCCGAACTTTTTCAGCATTCTGCCGCTGCTGGCTGGCAAACGTTCTGAACGACTTCAAGAGGTCTCTTTCGACCGTCGAAGTAGCACTGGGAGCTCCTGGAGTGCCTTCTATGACCTGAGGAGAGATCGTTCGGCTTGTAGCTGCAGAGGGACGAGCTTGGGTAGCCGACTTCTCAGCAGCCTTGGCGTCGCCGGGCTTTGCGGCGACGGTCTGCTTCGTCTCTGCAGGCTTCGTCTCTGCAGGCTTCGTCTCAGCCGGCTTGGTCGGCTCCTGCTTCGGGGCAGTCTTTGTAGCGGGGGCAGCAGGCTTGGGATCAGCGGCTTTCGGCGCCTCAGCACCTTGGGTAGCACTGCCCTTGTTGACGAGCTGGCTCAAAAGCTTGGCATCTTCGGGCTTCACTGTGGTCTGCTTCTTTGCGGGGGCTCTCAGTTGCGACGAGATGATCGCGGGGTCAATCGGGGCGCCAACGACAGTCGCATTCGAAGCGGGTGCTCGCTTGGCAGGAGGCGTGTACTTGTTTTCGCGGCTCGACAGAGGAGGGAAGTCCTGACGGCGGACTCCGCTGTATCTGAAAATGGGTGTTAACTTTGGCTGCTTCAAGATGAAGACATCAAGTAGAGAGCCTTACTTGTCTTCCTCATCCCCGCCCTTGTCGTCACCACCGCCAGTGACATAATCCATGACGCGCTCCTCCGCAACGTGCGCCGTGGTGGCCAAGCTTCGCTCGATCTCGCGAGCCTTGCGCTCGGCAGCAGCCATGCGATCACGGTACTGCGGGTGGCTTTTGTCAATGGTTGTTGTGTAGATGTTCTCATCGTAGTCGGTCTTGAGGCCGAAGAGCCGCTCATTCTCGGCAAATTGGTCCCAAGCTCCTCCACTGCCAGATGGCTTCTCCAAGCTGCCATCGATGCCATCATTGGAGTCGGGGACCCATGGCTGGAGGGTTCGCTCGGTGCCGGGTCTGTTGTTGGAAATAGCGGTATCG